ATGGACCGCTTGTCGTTCGTTCGTCTGTTAAGTTCCCCGAGAACGTAAGGGGTCAGAGCATGCGGGTTACGGTCAAGGTCGTTAGTGATTCGTACCCGGGTATGGAGTGGACGCTGTCTGATGTGGAGGTCGATGCGGGGGTGTCTGGGACGCAGACTTTGCCTGAGTCTTCGACTTTTCCTGAGAAGAGTTGAGTCGGGTTCAGATGGGAGCAGAAATACGAGATAAATAGATAGATGTTATAGTACATAGAGCTCAATAGAAGCATGGATATAGTCGAGTTCAAATAAAGAACAGACGAGATCATATGATATAGTATAGTATTTAAGTAAACCCAATTTCTGACGTAGTAGTTGGTAGTGGACATACTAGTAGTAGCGTCCAAAATATAAAAGAGATACGAGCCATGAAATGAAATTCCAGGAGCGTATTCCATGTCCCTGACATACATCGCCAAGCAGACAAACCAAAAATGAGAACCAGGGTAAGCTGTCACAAAGAGAAAAAAAAAATGCAGCCTGAAAAAGAATCCAAAAACCAAATACCACCAACTCTGGTGCACCTAGCTGGATAAGAACATCAAAATGGTGAACGCTACCTGCGCTGTTGAAATAAAAACAAAAGACTGAAATGTTGATATGAGAAGCATAAAATAAGCACGTGATCATGAGCATACCGACTTCCCAGACTAGTCACTTAGATGGTGTCGACCAGTACTTCCTGCGATCGTCCAGGGAGATGGTTGCGATCAGCTGCCATAACCAGGGGCGCTTTTCCCTTCTTATCGCCGACGCGCTCATTGGGATCCAAACGGTCTGGCCGTGGCCTGATAGGTACAAGGACCTGCCTTTTACCTTTCGAGACGGAGACGGATCGTGCGATTGAGATTTCGACGGTGGGGACGGGGTTCGCCGGATCGGATGGGTTGCTCTCCTTCTTGGTGTCCCCGGAAGGGTTGCGTCTTGGTGAAGTTGGGGAGGTTCGTCTGCTTGCCGGAGACGGGACCTCGCTTCTTTGCCGGGGCGCATTGACAGGCGTGTCTGATGATGCAGACAAAGTTGATGACGCATAGCTGGCCGTTCTGGGCGAATCTACCTGCGTATCGATCCTTAGAGACGGAGGTGACTCGCGTACGGGTTCCTTTGCTGTAGGCTTCTTGTTGATGATCTCCCATTCTGGTTCCCTTGCGTCAAAGTATGAACGGACAGGACCTAATTTCTGCAAGAGGAGCATTTCATCCTCGGAACTAATGGTCGTGGAAGAAAGAAATGAAGACACCGAGTTCTGTTGCTTATGCGACGGCTGCGAGCTATGGACCATGAGGACCACACTACTCTTTTCCGACAGATTTTCTTGATTTGATTCCCCTAGGGATGTTTGACTCTTGTGGATTGGGCTGGGACCGCGAGGAATATTCTGACTCCCCAGGACCTTCGAGGCCTTGCTCGTTTTGGTCGAAGGGAACAGGCTGAAACTGGGACTGGGGGATTTTGACCGTGTCGGAACTGGCGAGTGAGAAATGTCCTAAATATTATGTCAGTATAAGTGATATCTTCAAGCCAGATGTACTTTTAGACACTATACCTCTTCTATTGGAGGCTTCGTATCTTCCAAATTCTTGCTGCGCCTACTCATAGAAGATGGCCTGTTCTTCTTGAGGACTCCCCCAAACATGACGCTGTATCGCTCCAGCTGAATGTCAGGAATGTCAACCTGGAGTAGGGGACCGGATCCAAGAGACTGTCCCCTCTCCTGGGGCGAACCACTGGTCGCATCTGCGTGAGACTGTTTCGGTTCCTGCGTAGAAGTCTGGACTTCCGGTACTATAGAGGGCCATGCGTCCGCGCCTGTGGTGGGACTGGCAGGATTCTCGAGGCCTGAAGACTGAATCTTTGGCTGCTGCTCGAAGGAATAGGTCGAGCTTTGCATTGGCCATTCATTTTCGAGCCGGACCTGATAGAAGGGTTGATTTAGAGGGGCTGTCATGGCAGCCTTGGCCTTGAAAAGGCCGCCAATCTTCTTCCATTTGCTTGGCTTGCGCTGCAACGATGGTCGCGCTTGCGGTTCTGCCGGGTTGACAGGAATCGTCTCCTGTATCTGTGATGTAGGAACTTGCGGGTCGATCATCCGAGGACTTCCCAACGCGATGCCGATAAGACTTCCATTCATGTCATTATTGGTGCTGACGGGTGACGATATGGGGGAAGAGGGAAGCGGAGGAGCCTCGGTGTTGATAGGGCTCATGGCTTGCAACCTCTTCTGCGGGTGCCCTTCAGATACTACTGGGCGATGAAAGCTCCGATTTGGATGAGGCGCTGGGCGGCTGTTATTTGCGCCATCCTCGATACACTTTTGGCCCTTCCGTGGCAGCACATCAGGGTGTTTTGATGTTGGGGAAGAGCCAGCCTCCGCCTGCCTAATTGTACGTGACCTTCCTAGAAACGTCCCTCTAGCCATTGTGCACGACTGCCTGAATATCAAATACCGAAGTGAAAGCGAAGGGTGAAGTTCCAGAGTATTGCTAAGAAAAAGATGATGGTGAAGTAAAAAAGTAAAGAACGATTAGAGGGAGCCAAGCCCTGTTTCTATCAAAATCTCAAAGACAAAGGAATGGACGGCCTTCCAGAAGACCCAAAATTGAGATGCAAGCAGTTCAGACAAGGAAAGAGTCAGTTCATGCTGGGGAGAAAAGGAGAATGGGCGATAGAGGGTCAGCGCAGCATAGTTAAGACGTTGCGGCAGTTATTGTGGAGCACTAGGCAGAGCGCTACATCTAAGTGAGACGTGTGGCAGGGGCGAACTAGTGCGAGGGCTTAGATTAAAACATTGTGCAAGATCTGACGAAGCGCGACGGCAGAACAGCCAACCGAAATTTCCAGAGAAATTGCTCAGGAGAGACCACACGGCATCCCCGCATGGCTAACACTGGACACGGACATTCGTCCAGTCACAAGAATTTGACAGCTCTGTGATTAGGAATAGTTGAAGGCCATCGAGAGAACCACACGAGGCGCTTATTCTAGTAGCTGCAAATCAGCGCTGGATGTTGCGGGCGCATTTAATTACGAGCGCGGGCAAGGGGCCAAAGAGAGAGGCTCCGGCCGACGGATTCACCTCGAGTTGGAAGTATGAGCGTTGGCGCAGCTGGAATTATTGGTTCCAGCTGTTCTGAAACTCCCTGTGCGCTCGACCAATAAGATTGTGAATATCTCAATCGCCTGGCGATCACACAAGGCCTGAGACTCATTCTCAGGGCCTTGGTGTTACGGATCCTCTAACCGATGCCGCAGATGAGAAAAACCCTTTCACGAGATGTTCGTGCGACCATGCCTGCATTCTGTCGAGGGCCGAACGTTGTAATTTTCCGAGTCTCTTGGGCAGTGGATTGCGATAGCCCGTTGAGGCACGAGGCCCGCTAGATAAGACTTGAGGAGTCCACTGGGAAAATTAAAGTAAGAGGCCGCCCAAGGAACTGGCCCGCGGCCCTCACCTTAAGGTAAGTCACGGACCAGCCATCTCCTGAATGGCGTTTTTAGCTTCTTTATTATTCCGTAGATCAAGGACTGATGGCTTGAGAATGGTGTAGTATCGAGAACATCATTAGGAGAACATAGGTTAATGATGGACGGGAGATTCCGCTATCCACCATCATCGACAAGGGAATTGTCGAGGAGTGAGGAGGGGGGAGATAGGAAAAAGTGACTGACGGATGGCTGCAGATGATCCCCGGCACCTGACTCGATGACAGGCACGTGCCCAGTCAACCCACCACACATCATTCTCAGCTCGCAGGTGACAGTTGCTCCCGATGAATTTGTTCCCATGGCAGAGGCTGTGAGAGACAAAAGGGATGAATAGACCTATGTGGAAGAGGCGGTAAGGAGAAACCGGTGAAAAGAGGCCCGCAAAGTGGACATGCTTGGGGTGTCTAACAGGGTCTAGTTTTGCACCGGTAGGGGACTAATCCTAATTATCCTATACTGAAGCGGGTGAACTACGGAGTCGGCCTGCCGTTGAGCCCTCCACCGCCTGGATACTCTTTACGCATACCGTAGCTTTGGTGGGTGATCCCAAGGTTAAGCTAGACAGTGATGGAATGAGGCTATTCAGAGTTCAGCTCTGTGTTGCTAGGGGGATGACGTAGGAAGACGTACCATAAAACTCACCCCCAAAAAGATTAGATGACAGCTGGTCATTAGTAGTAGTGAGCGGAAGGGAAAGAAGAGGCGATATGAGTGTTTGATCTCGGCATGTACCACTAGGTAGTGAGGATAAAGTTCAAACAGGAGCTATAAAGTATCAGCAGATGATAAACAGACGTTAGATATCCATCCATCTTACGGTGACCGACAAGTTAAGAAAGAGGAAAATGAGGAAAAGTCGGGAATCGGCGGGGCAGGAATTACTACTAGCAGGAGATGCTCAGCTGGGAAAAAAAAGCAAATGGAAACCAATGCCACCCCCCACCAAAAGCAAACTAAACCAACTAAAGCAGCAGCAAACCACCCCAAGCCCGCCTTAGTAAACTCACCTCATCATCGGCCTCCTTCTCCCCCTCCTTTCCCACCAACTTTCTTCGAGACTCATCTCTACTATCTACTACCACCTTCTTCCCCCCCCAGCGCATTACTTCTCTTTCTCCTGGTCGATTCCTAGTCTTCGCCCGGAGTCTTTTACCACCCCCACGTTCCACTCTTCTTACGGATTGCTCTGCTTATCCGTCTCTATTCCCCTTTCCCGACCGTCCCGTCATTTGTTTATCCGACCGTCACCATGGGTCAGCACTCCGCTATCTGGCAAGGTATGACGATAAAACATGCTCCTGCGACATTCCATTCTTTGTGTATAGTACTTTATTCCTGGGCGTTCTGGACTGACTTTCTCTCTTCTTCCTGCTCAGGATATGTCGATTCCAGGTACCGTATAACCTAACCATGTTTACCCCGCTTCGGCCACTGCCGCCCCTCCAAGTTGGTATCGGAATTCTGACGCGAGGCCGTTCAGTTTGATGGGATCTGGTCAATTTGACAAGGCCGGTATTCTGAGCCACGACCTCTCCGGCCTTGAGGCTGGCTCTCCCGGCTTCACGGTATGACACGCTCTCCAACAGCCGCTGATTTGATCGGCGTGACCCCACGGCCAAATCAGCGCCTCACCAGCACGAACCCAGCGTTAACGACAATCACAGATCTCCCCTCAAGAACTCCAGGGCCTTGCCGCTGCTTTCAAGGACCCCGCCTCCGCTTTTGGTACCGGTATCACCGTTGGTGGCGAGAAGTTCGTCGCCATCAAGGCTGACGACCGCAGTCTGTACGGCAAGAAGGTACTGTCACACATACACTTTACCTCCGCCATTATTTCGCCTTTGAAATATGCACATTCAACTAACTTGTGAAAACCAATAGGGCAAGGAGGGTATCGTTGTCGTCAAGGCCGTCTCCTGCGTCATGGTCGCCCACCACGCTGAGAACGCCCAGACCACGAATGCCGCTACTGTGGTCGAGAACCTCGTTGACTACATCAACAACCCCCGGTGAATGGGTTTAAAAGCAGAATGAAATTGTGTTTTGTCTCGCCTTGAGCAAGGGACAGTCGGTAATACTGGTTATTTAAATGTAAATCATCATGGTGGTCTCCTTTTCTCGGTTGTCTTTTCTCTCTCCGGTATTCTTCGCATCAATTGGCATTTATTACTTCTCGTAGATTCATAGCTGTACATTATGTGCTATAAGTAAAGCCATTCCAACGAGCCTTTATTTGATATGGAAGTCCAGACCGGCCATTTCACATGCTCAGGAAAGAGAGTTAACAGCCCAAAGCTATCTAGCGTCCACACCTGTCCCGCATTCCGAATGATATCACCGGCCACTCTGTTATTCTGACAGCTCGGATCTATGCAGCATGCACAATAAGGTAATCTCAAATTAGCTTTTCATTGTCATATCACTTACTAACCAACACACAACTCATACTACCGAACATCGCAAGACACACTGTCTCCCCTCCACGGAAAAGATATATTAACAATTAAAAGGTCTCTAGTACATAACAATAACCCTATTATAGAAGCGAACAACAACAACATCACCACCACCACCCCGCTCATCCAGACAGTAGTAAGTAGAAATAGGCGGACATGGCACCCAGACTAAAAACGATAGTAGTCCATAGCACACCACACCACACCACACCACACCATCCCATACCCATCCCATCATGCAAATATTCGTAACAAGAAAAATAAAAAAAGAAAAAGAAAGACCCTAATGCCACATAACTATTCATACATATGAACATGTCAAGATCCCACCATCATCATCGTCATCGTTATCAAAAAAAATATCATTCCCTCAGTCACACCCATGCCTACACCCCCAAGAGCGAACGAAGGTTCTCTCTATACAGGCAACTCGGCATTCCTCCTTCCACCGGCCAACGTCTCCAGAACCTTTTGAATAAACGGTCCCACGACGGGGATATTCCCCGCGAACTGGCCAATGGTGATCAGGAAGTCGCCAAAGAGGATGAAGAGACCGTACAGCTCGATTATGAATCCGGTGAGCGGCCAGCGGAGGAGGATGAGGAGGATTCCGGCGGCGAAGGCGGCGGTGCCTTTGAGTTTTTGCCGGCGCGAGAAGAAGGCGAAGGTCTTTTCGAGGCCGATTATTAGGGTTAGGCCGATGAGGAAGAGGATCTGTGTGTGTGTAATTGGGTTGGGTTAGTTGGGTTTGTTCATTGCGTCTCGGGAGGAGAGTGAGGTGGGATCATTAGGGGTAGCGTACGTTTCCCATTGCCAGGCTATTGGGTGAGTTTTGTTAGTTATATTGTGTATATGGTTAGGTGGATATGGACGTACAGTGAGCGATCGAAGAACATTAGGACTCCGCCGAAGAGGAATAATCCTCCTGTTTGAGGAACATCGTTAGTATGTGGATCATCGGTTGGGAGATGTAGGAAATGTGATGTCGTTGCAAGCACGTTATGTAGACATACCAGCTGAGCAGAAGATAACTCCGATCTCTGTTGTAGAAAGGACGTGCGTTAGCCAATGGATCCGGATATGATCTCGTGCGAAGAGTGTGCAAAGTAGGAGTTTCTTACTCTGGTTATCGGATAGCCACATTGTAGGCATATTGGCTGTTTTCTGATTCTATGGAAATGCGCGCGCACTGATATGAAATTCGTAAATAATACGTCGAGGACTGAAGCTAAAGGAGTTCAAGGTGGATTATAGCTCCCAACGATGCGATGCGTTCGTCGCTCGGGGATTCGGGGGCTTGCGGAGATCGCGTGCACGGGGCACTATATATCGTGGAATGGACGAGGAGGCGGTAAACCCACAAAAGACTAGAAATTAAGGAGGATGAAGATATCGCACCCCGGTATATAGGTACTCGTCCTGGAGGATTCACGAAGCTCTTAATGTACAGGCGCCAGCAATGCGAGTAAACACGGAACCAACTGCGGCTGCTGCGCAAAATTCCCAATTCTGCCACGTCCCTTTCTTGGCTAGGTTTGTGCTATTCCGCGTTCGGATGGCGGTCGGGCGATCAACAACATTCGCACAGCCGCTATTTTCGGTTCTCTCAACTCAACCTTCTCAACCGATTCTACCTTCTGATGTTTACCATCGTGGGAGGACCATACGTGTCGACAATATCACTCGGGTTGCATGCCATTGACTAGGGTCTTTGATGATTGGATACCTTGTTAGCTTCTAATGTGCAATCTTTCTACGATATTCTGGATGCGGCGGTGCAAGAGACACGCAGTGCTTCTACGACAGGGGTGCCTACGATGATTTGAGGTATCAAGATGACTTCAATCGGCGACTCTATTACTGCAACTATTCTGCCCGTATATACCTGGCGAGCCTTTGGGCTCAACTCATTTCACGCCGCGGCGACAGCATCTTCGGATGCTGTAACTGATGTTCCGGTTCCTGGAGCTTCGGTACTAGTCGAGTGCATCTTGCACAAGGCGAAGATAAACTTTCATAATAAGGTCACGAATAAGCCGGAGCGTTTTCTTTGAACCTGTCTCGAGAGGGGCATGGTGGGTGGAAAGGGCTTGACTGTGTTGGCCGTACATAAATCGCGTATTAGATTAGGCTGCTATCTAGCCTGGGTTTAGTTAGAAGTCCGACACATTATCGTCGCAATGCTTATGGCAACTTACCCTGATATCTTATAGTGTAGAACAAACATTTCCATAGCAAAATCATAGCATCGTTTATTTGAGAACCACATGGGCAGCCCTGAGCTCCAAATAGCTCTCCGGCACTCCCTGACCAAGTGTCCTAATCACACTAAAGACCTCCTTGTCGTGATACCTCAGTCTTGTCTTAGGATCTGTGTATGGAGCAGGCAGGCCTGTTATATCGCAGTAGCGGGTTTGCTGCGACGGGTGCAATGAGGGTGCCGATTCGATGTTCGTGTAGGTTACGGCAGGTCCAGATGTAAATGCAGCTCGTGCGTTCTTTTCCAGCACCAGTGTCGAGAGGTTCTGCGCGGCCTGCGCGATGTTCGTTCGAGGTGTGCCGTCGGCAGGGGTTTGGCTGCCGTCGGTGCTGGCGGACGTAGCTGGGAGTGGGGTGGTTGCGCCGGAATTAGACTGTGTTGCCATAACAGAAGCCTCCTTCCTCGAGCTCTCAGAAATAAGCTGCTTGACGTTCTTGTTGCGACGCTGCGATGGCTTCCAATTCGGATTGCGGAACGGACGGGAAACGGCCGCGATGTCGAGACGATCGAGAAGCGCTTGGTGATTCTCCTGTTCGGCGGGAGTAAGAGGAGCCATGGTGATGATGGAGCGTTGAGGTGCGGATGAGGTTCTAGTTTGAAAGGATGAGGCTGGTGTCTTGGTTCAGTGGTGGAGGTTTGGTTGATAATGTCGAACTGGGGGTATGGCGGTGCTCTCCCACGTCCGACCCTTGCCCGAGTTGTGAAATTAGAATGCACAATGCGCGCCGATGTCGCCAATGCTGATGGTCAAATGGCGCAGTTATAGTTAATGTTCGCCCAGAGATAGAGTGAAAGAAAATAGTGAAGATAGAGAATGAGCCAAGTTTGGAGACCTGATGTCTGGATAGTGAACCTTCCAACCAGTTCCCAGCTCGGTATAAGTCACGTGGCAGCGTATCTTGAGTTGCCGTGAATCCAAAGAAGCAACAAACAAACACAACATCAAAAAATAACAGTCCATCCACGAACTACACTAGATACCAAAGATGGTGAGCAAAGCAGTGCACTGGAAGATCAAGTAGTAGCAAGGTCATCCTAATATCTTATCTAGGAAAGTCCACATGAGCACCAGCAGGCCCTCCTGCTCTCTCGCATTATCGGCAACATTGTATGTGAACCGGAGGGCATTCTGAGTTGCAATAGCTGATCGGCTCTAGGAAAAATTAAATGAGTCAATCATGGTGATGAACAGAAGCCTCCAGGTAAGTGCATTTGCTTGCTTTCCGCCAGGGTAGAGTACTGATGGGATTTACTAGGAGGTCAACATCCAGAACATGAACGTCGAGCTTGTCGCACAGATGTTCAAGAACTACCAGTCCAACGTTCTATTCCATCTAGAAGGTAGTTTTCCATTGCATTCTTAGTTGAGTTTGGCTGACCAGTATTAGCGACGGAGAATTTGAAAGACCCGTCATCCTCGTCGTCCAGTTCTTGATACCCAACAGTGTTTCCTAGTTATCTGATAATGAAGACATGATTTCCACTTGAAATAAAACCGAATTCACTTATTCCTCGATTTTGAATGGATAGTAGACCAAGTAAAGACAGCCAAGTATGACTGCGAAGTTCCGCAAAGAGGCATAGTTTACTCGCATGGAGTGATCGGCTTGGCGGCATACGAGCGCCGCTGGCGGTGGCCGGAGAGGCCTCCACGGCCCCGACCAAAGCTGGGGAACTTTCAAGCTCTCATTCCCTTTCCTCCCTCATCACCAACACCACCGCAACCTGCGTCATCATATCTTTGACAGCCTTATCAGCGCGCATCTATCATCAGCTAGTGGGTGTCTGGTGCACTAACCCTTGCGACACTCACTGCAATGCAGTGAGCGGTCTTTACCTGGAAGCTTCCAAGTTGCTGCTAAGAGCGCCTGCGTCCAACCACCATGGCTATCACCTCAATCCAGCCGGTTCTACCGACCCGGTTCACGATCAATTCGACCGAGAAAGGTGCCAAAAAGCCTCCCCCAGAACCTTACCACGTGAAAGACCATCCATTCAAAGGCTACCACCCCCCTCAACCGGAAGGCTACGAAAAGAGCAAAAGTACTAGCGCCATAGTTATTGATAATGGTGAGTGAAGACCCTGGCTTGAGACTGCATCGTGTACGGTCAACTGACTTTTGCGATCGACTTGAAGGCTCGAACCTGGTCAAAGCCGGTTGGTCGTTCGACAAATCTCCTCGTTTCGTGCTTCCTCCTGTGATGAGCCGGTATCGCGACCGGAAGCTCAACAAAGCCTGCCAATTCATCGGATACGATTCCTATGTAGATGCGACTACGCGCGGTCAGCTGCGCTATGCCTTCGACCCTGGCACGAGTGTGGTGGGTAACTGGGATGTCATGGAGGGGGTGTTGGACTATCTGTTCATCAAGCTAGGAGTTGATGGTGCCAATGGAGGTGTTGACAGGCCGATTGTCATGACTGAGCCGATCGCGAACCTCGCCTATCCCAGAAGGAGTAAGTTATATCGCTTGGAGCTACAAAGGTGGCATTGCTGACGATTTGGTAGTGATGAACGAAATCTTGTTCGAGTGCTATTCCGCCCCATCGGTCGCCTACGGCATCGACTCCCTGTTCTCCTATCGGTACAACCGCGGAAAGGATGGACTCATCATCTCGTCGTCGCACACATCGACGCATGTGATTCCCGTGCTAAATAACAAGGCTTTGCTATCCAACTGCTCGCGACTAAATTGGGGTGGACTGCACGCATCGGAATACCTGCTGAAACTCATGCGCTTGAAGTACCCGACCTTCCCTGCGAGGATGACAGAAAGCCAGATGGAAGACATTGTGCACAAGCATTGTTACGTTTCCAAGGACTACGACCAAGAGCTGAGCCACTATCTGGACTGGACGGGGCTGGAGGAGCGTGACTGTATCGTCCAATACCCTTATACCGAGCATGTTGTGCCCGAAAAGACCGAGGAAGAACTCGCCCGGATTGCCGAGAGGAAGAAGGAAAGTGGGCGTCGGTTGCAGGAGCAGGCCGCTAAGATGCGGCTAGAGAAATTGATGAAGAAGGAGCAGGAATTGGAGTACTACAAGGACCTACAGAATGGATTGGCCTCGGAGACGAAGAAGGAAGCCAGGCGCATTCTCGAAGCGGAGGACCTGAAGGATGAAGCCCATCTAGATCGATTGATTCGGGATCTTGAGCGGTCCATCAAACGATCCCGGAACCGGGACCTGGGGATCGAAGAAACCGAAGAACCCCAGGAAGAGATGTCATTCCCCTTATTAGACGTCCCGGATGAAGAACTGGATGAAGCTGGTCTGAAGGAAAAGCGCCATCAGCGGCTAATGAAGTCTAACGTTGAAGCTCGACAACGCGCGAAGGCAGAGAAAGAGCGCGAGAAGGCTCGCCGGGAAGAGGAGGAACGCCTTGACCGTGAGAAGCGCGAGAACGATTTCGAGAATTGGCTCGCTGAACGCAGAGCAAACCGTCAGGTATGATTGTTCCCCGTACTGATGATGGCATATCTAACCTTTCTACGCAACAGAACATCATGCAGAAGATCAAGGAACGTGACAGGATGAAGGCGGATCTCGGCAACCGCAAGTCATTAGCCAGTCAGATGCGTATGAAGACACTCGCCAACCTCGCTGCGGATGGGCCCAAGAAGCGGAGGCGTGGCGGGGACGATGACACCTTCGGTGCCAACGACGAAGACTGGGGTGTCTATCGAACTGTGGCTACAGGTGAACAAAGTGACGAGGAGGAAGAGGAAGACCTTGGAGGCATGCTTGATACCGTTGAGAAGGAGCTACTCGAGTACGACCCCGAATTCACAGAGAACCACACTCTGGCAGCACAATCCGACTGGACCAAGAGTTTGGTGCACGTCTTCCTGCGGGGCCCCTGGCCCTTCGATCCCGAGAGCCAACGTGAGGCTCATCAGCTCCACCTGAACGTGGAGCGAATCCGCGTTCCCGAGGTGGTGTTCAAGCCGTCAATTGCGGGCATTGACCAGGCCGGTCTGTTGGAGATTGCGGCCGATATTGTGAACCAGCGATTCCCGAACCCTGAGGAGCAATCGAAACTGCTGCGGGATGTGTTCCTCACGGGTGGCAACACCATGTTCAAGAACTTCGACGAACGTCTCCGCAACGACTTCCGCGCGTACCTCCCCGTGGACGCCCAACTCAACGTCCGACGTGCAAATGACCCGGTTTTGGACGCATGGAAGGGTGCTGCGCAGTGGGCATCAGGGTCAGAGTTGGCCAAGTCCTCGATCACTCGGCAGGAATACTTGGAGAAGGGCAGCGAATATCTCAAGGTAAGCACGGGAAAGTTCCTCGCTGTGACGCAAGCGAGATCGGCTAATAATCTTCCAACAGGAGCATGATATGGGCAATGCCACTACATGGTAGATTGTCAGAGCCTGCAATACGTTCTGCCTGTCTAATACCTATACCAAGAGTAAGATCTTAACATAATCCGGTTGGGGTATACGAGGTCGGGACTGGGAACGCCCTTTGGCGGACTGTGGATCAGCGATGCGACAAACCCAAGCTGCACCACCGAACTACCAAAGGCGTAGATACGGGTGGCGGTATGTATCCAGGGCGCGAAGGAACAGGGAGTCGGGCGTACTAACTCGGATGAAACATTCAAATTTCGACGAGGAATGATTTGATAGATTAAGATGGCATGGATAGTTTCACTTCTTTATCATTCTTATTTTGTATGCTATAGTTCTTTTACTGTCATGTGCTTCTCCCAACGCTTGTATAGTATGTGAGCTCCTTTGAAACAGGGTCCTCGCGTTCGCAGACCTGACCATCAGCCCGTCTCAGCCTTACTCGTACAGGCGCGATATGATAAGGTAAAGTACTTACTGAACTGCATTGAGCAAGTTTGGTGATGCGAATGTCGACGGTTTAGTGAAGGCAGCAACGTAAACTAAAGTTCCGTGTGCATTTCACAACAACACTAATCGCTCATCAAGCACACTTCCAAGACTGCACACCCCCCATCTAGATATACCATTATGGGAAGACATTGTGATAGCGCAAACAGTACTTGATGGCTGCTGATCCCTCCCCACCAGCAACTCAGCAACGCTGGACACGGCCCATGTTTGCTTATTAGCTTCTTGCTTCACAGCCTCGACCACAGCCCTGTTACACTCATGTCCCTCAACAATCGGGACATGTAGACTACATTCGGATGTAAAGACTGCAATAGTCCCCCAGGGGTTCACGGGATGGGCACCGCAGATGAAGATTGTACCAATGCCAAAGACTACAGTCCAAACTGAAACTAGCACTATCATGCACATTGTCACAGAGTGGAAGGCAGTGCGAATGGTCCGTCTACTGCAGAATATGCTGCGGTAGAAATAGAGAATGCTGAGTTTTGCGAAACCAAATGCCCAGACTGTCACTATGTCAGCGACGTATTGGATCTATTAAAGATTAGTTTTGGAATCCGATTTAAGCAGAGAGATGTTAACCTGTAGAAGCCTGATTTGTGGATCAGAGTTTGAGAAGATGTAAGCATCTGGACGTGGGTCATCGGGCTGAAGAAGAAGACTTCCTAAGGATCCTGTTGTTGCTCCCCAAAGCATCAGGGTGGCGAGTACATATTCCAGTCCCTCAATGAGTCAATATCATTGAATTCAAGGCCTCAGGGTGCATATACTTTACCAGTGCAGGCAGAGTCAACCAGTCGTCAATCCACAACACAAATTTCGTCTTTCTTCTGGTATAGAAGCGCAGAGTCACCGTTAAGGTGCCCAAGATAGGAAAGAGAATAGGAATCCTAATGATTGAAGCGGGGTTTGCGTATGTATCTGACATGATCATAACGGCGACCTTGAAATCCCACCGACAATGGGAGAGGAATCATTATTATGAGATGAAGAGCGGAGCGACACAACAGATAATACCATCTTGCCGGGACTCCCCTCGCGTCCTTGTTTTAGGTGTGTGCGTTTGTGCGTGCGTGTGTATACCTTGTTGCTCTCAGCTGGAGGCGGCTACGGGCATGCTGACTAGACTAGGAGGGTTACACGCCGGGATGATCCTGGTCAGGCTCAGCCACAAAGCGAGGCTATTTTCAGAAGCTTCTTCTCTTACCTCTTGCTTGACACACTATCAGCATCTCTTCATCCCTTCTTTACTGAGCACCTCGAATTTGGTTATTGATTATGTCTTTGCTCTGGAGTCTGGGGGTTGCCGTCTTGCTGTCCGTACTTTGGACAGCAAGTGAAGCTATCCGTCGCCTTTACTTCCACCCTTTAGCCCATATTCCCGGTCCCCGTCTTGCAGCCCTCACATGGTGGTATGAGTTCTATTTCGACGTTATTCAGCCCGGTCAATACGTGTTCAAGATACAGGAGCTGCACACACGATATGGTATGTCAAGCTCTGCTTCATATGTGAGCCCCACTGACGGTTGTAGGCCCAATCATCCGTATTACCCCAGATGAGGTTCACATCAATGACGTTGGCTTTTTGGACACTATCTACGCCCCTTCAATGGCCAGAAGGGACAAGTATGGCTATCAGCTGAGGAGCCTTCGCGTCCCGGGTGGATTGGGCACAACCACCGACCATGACTTGCATAAAGTCCGGCGAGAGTCTCTTGCGCCCTTCTTCAGTAAAAGGAACATTTTGCACATGGAGGGGTTGATCTCAGACAAGGTAGACCAGCTAAAGCAATTGATATCCACCCATGTTGCCAAAGACATCCCAGTCAACTTGTCAGATGCGTTCTTCGCATTCTCGAATGAGTAGGTTGACCCGTCATTCACTCGGTATCGAGGCTAATTGCCCAGCGTTGTCAACAACTTCCTCTTCGCGCACCGGACAGATGTACTTGCAAGCGAACCAAAAGCCGCCATCCTCCGCCAAAACAGCAAAGAGCTCTTGATGGGGATCAATATCAACAAGCACTTTCCGCAAATCCCCAATTTCCTGGAGTCGCTCCCTGTGTCCATAAGCCGCCCAATGATGCCTCCAGGCCTTGTTGATCTGCTTGCCCTATTTGACGTGAGACTCTGCACCGAGAATATATACCAAGTCTAACATTTCTATGCAGCGCGTTCGTGAGGAGATTTTCATGCTCACAAAGGGTAAAGAATCAGGGGTAGCTGTCAAGAACAAAATTGGACCAACTGGCAAAGAGTCAGTGTTTGATTCATTACTGGACAGCCCAAACCTGCCGGCCTCAGAGAAAATGCCCCTCCGGTTGCAGCAAGAAGGAGCTCTGCTAGTCCTAGCGGGAACCGAATCGCCAGCTCAGACACTTAACATCATCTTCTATCATCTTCTTGCCAACCCCACACTTCTCGAGAAGCTTCGCAGGGAGCTCCGTGCCGTACCTATACCTTCCTCATGGACCCAGCTCGAGCAACTTCCGTATTTATCTGCGGTAATCGAGGAAGCCAATCGCCTTTCTTTCGGCGTCACGGCTCGGACCGCACGTATCGCTTATGAGCCGCTGACCTATGCGCCTTCCTCGTACGTCTCCTTGACCTGTCCACCCAGCACCAAAAGCAAGTCGTACACAATCCCGCCAGGCACTCCAATATCCACCACGACTCTGAGTGCACACACCGCGGACGCCGTCTTTCCGGATCCTTTTGTTTTTGACCCGGAACGTTGGCTCGGTGATGCTGGGAAGGAGCGACGAAAGTTTCAAATGGCGTTCAATAAGGGAGGGCGAAAGTGCCTTGGGATCGAACTCGCGCGTGCGGAGCTATATCTTGTGGTCGCAGCCCTGGTTCGTGAATTTGACATGACACTGTTCGAAACCGATGCCGATGATGTGGCGTTTCTGTATGATTATCAAGTCGCCATGCCGAGGATGGGGTCGAAAGGAGTGAGGGTGATGGCGAAGTTGCTTCATTGATTACATTCTACTGCTACGGGAAGATTTCGTGGGTTTGATGACCAGAATACTGTCAGGGGGACTAGTCAAGAACCACGGATCTATAGAGGATTTAGTCGATCCTACACTATTTGGATGGGCCCAATTTTGGTTCGTGCCGCCAGTCCATTGCTATCAATTTGCTTATAACCACCAACATATAGCTCTTGAACGATGCATCATTTGAATTCTCAGTCTTACTAATGCCAAGTCGCGCGATACATGCGCCGGCCTCTACCAACTATGGTTCGGTCAATGACTTGACACACTAATGCACAACTAGCTCTGTATGTCTCACTTTGTCCTCGAAACGCGGACATTCCGTGGGTGGTGGGTCAATCAAACCGACGAACAGACAGTGGAGCTGCGTGCTAGGCTCTTATGTGCTGAGTTGATAAGACTCTGTGATTAGTTACTAGTTGCAGGGATGTAGACCCTTCCTGCCCCTGTATACTTGAGTCCGTAGGTGAACTATAGTGGTGTGCAGGTGGCTGTGGGTACCGATAGCCTTCTCAGCCTTTTGGTCGTAATTCAGTCCCTTAGGGCGCATCATTCATATATGACTACGCTAATTGCCAAGAGGAGATTGTCTGCTACTAAATGTGGCTACCTGCGCTGTCTGACTACTTTGAACTTAGAATTCCATTTAATCCTAGCAAATGCAGCTGCCACCGTTCTAATGTTCTAGCCTTGTTCCGAGCTTCCCTCCCCGTCCTCCCTCCTCCTATAATCACCACGAGACAATGCTTCCAAGCTCTCTGAATAAAGTCGCCAAGCAAGTTCTCACACATCTCCCCTATTATCTCCAGCTGCGCGCATCGAAAATCTTCATCCTTAGTCTGTTCGTCTGGCTCCTAATATTCTACTATTGCCGAATCAGCCTCTGGCGTGATCCACACTCTGCCTTTTTCCAGGATTGCCATGTCTACGAACTGGATTACAGTCTTCACCGTGAGCGTGAGGCCTGGCATTTTATCTCGCAGCACAACTCGGCCATCGATCCACCAGACTACGTGAAGAGTGGAGGCACACCTACTGCTTGTATTGCCATGGTCACTGTTCGACGAGACTCGGACCATTATTTCGAAGCATCTGTTGGCTCACTGCTGGAGGGGTTGGACGAACGAGAGCGGCAGGCATTGTATCTCAGTATCCTGTTTGCCGATACGGACCCGAGAGTACATCCTAGTTGGGATCAGAAATGGGTGGGCAGGCTTGTGGATGCAGCGGATACTTATAATGTGTCGGAAGGGCAGTTGCAGCACTTGCAGGATCTGGAGAGGGATAAGAACTTTTATGAGAAGGGGGTCTTGTGAGTTTATGAATATTTTCAGGGCCTTGGTTCTTATACATCTGCCTCTAGGACCAAGCTAGCTAACAATGTGCAGTGACTATATTTACGCCCTCCGAACCTGCCAAGAAGTAAATGCTGCCTACACGATCATATTCGAAGACGACATTATTTTTGCCACAGGATGGTTCTCAAAGACTTTGAAGGCACTGGTCGACATCGCCCAACGGGACCAACAGTCGCAAAATCCCTGGATATACCTCCGTCTTTTCTACACAGAAACCTCGTTGGGGTGGAGCAACTCCGACATGGCATACAGTAACATGCCCCTGATATTCGGCCTCCTCACGCTATCTACATTCTCATCCTTGATGGTACTTCGGCGCACTCGCTTTGAGAGACTTCACCTTGATACTCTAAGCATCGTGGTTATCTCTATGGTGTGCGTTCCGGCCTTCACCGCGCTCGTATACATGGCCGGCAAATACAATTTGATGCCGCTCCAAGGGGTTGTTGAGATGAACAAGTTTGGATGTTGCACTCAGGGCTTGGTGTTTCCATGGGAGAGTGTGGATGGTCTTATTGAATTTTTAACTGCAAGAGGACATGGCCAGACGGATTCCATGATAGAGGAATACGCTGACCAGAGCCGGTTGACTCGGTATGCTCTGGCACCGCCTCAGCTGCAACATGTGGGATTGAAGTCAAGCCGGAATAATCTTGACATCAATACGCAGAGTACGTGGGCATTCTGGTTTGAGACCAATGATGCGGCCAAATTGAGAAAGGAGCATGCTGCACTTTTGGAAGATGATGGAGTGAAGAGAATGTTGAATATATAGACCATTTTCAGGGTAACTACTCCAATTTAAGAATTAGTGAAATGATATGATATGTTGAAGCACGTTGGACATGAAAGTGTTGAGACCATCTGCGCATGGGATGATTTCGTGCCATGCCAAAGTCCAACAAATTTTCCAAGGTAGTACAACTACTTAGATCTATTGACGATTAAATATCAATTTCCAGACTAGTATACTGACATACAGGCCATCACAGTTTCCAACTTTGTGCAACCGTTCACATGAAGTCAGGTAAGTTCCAGCAGTGGTTGTGAAACAAATGCCATACGCGTAGTGGGGACACAGAAAGGTTAAATCTGAGCATTATGGCCCGACTATTGACTACTGACTATCGGAGTATAATATTATATTACAATGTCACAATCCTAAATTGACCTCCCATCTTCCATTCAGCATCCTAAATATCTGTGACGAATTAATCATATTCAGGAAGGCTCATAACACAAAGCCAGTCATGCAAAGTGTACCCAGACCGCCTGTCCGATGGAGTATATTCCGAGTTGCTCCATTGGGATAGGATCATCGTTTCGATAGGCAGGAAACCAACATGTCAAAAGTCCAATCAAGGGCGAGATGCAGCACAGACACTTGGCTGGCCTCTGCGACTCTCCAATGCTTTTCTCCTGGTGGGTCTGCCCCATAACAACCGCCAGTCAAAGGCAGTTTTTAGCTCATAAGGCGGGGGAAGCGTCCGTGATCACATGTAGCAGGTACTTATCAACCACAACGCAACGTCCCTAATCTTCATTTCCTTCAATGCATTATTCTATCTCCTCTGTGAAATTACAACATGTCAACAACAGCAATTGAGCTAGTTCCGCAGGGACAACAGGAGTCACAGAACCCAGTTCAACCATTCGGGCCGAGTACTGAACAGGCAATCGTACAGCAGAAGCAAAAGTGGAATGATCCTCCCATCAATAGATGGCGTCTTTTGGCTACATTCATTAGTTTCACGGTTGTTGGAGCAAATGATGGTGTTTATGGAGTGAGCTCTCCTTCACAGTGAACCCCCGCATCAGCAAGAAATGACAAACTAATCACTCATGTTAGGCACTCGTCCCATATGTATGCGTTTAATTGGCTAGATTTGTTTCCCTCACCAGAAAGATGCTGAAAGTCAAGTAGCTTCGCGAAGACTACAACCTGTCTACCACCGTAGTCTCTCTGATTTTCGTGACCCCATTCGCCGGATATACCATAGCCACCCTCATCGTCAACAAGATTCACATGACGCTTGGACAGCGGGGTATAGCAATTATCGGTCCCCTATGCCATGTCATTCCATATGTGATTATGGCTATCCATCCGCCCTGGCCGGCAATGCTAGCTGTCTACGTAATTGTTGGCTTGGGCAATGGTCTCATCGACGCGGCATGGAATTCCTGGATCGCTGATATGGCCAATGCGAATGCTATGATGGGGGTCCTACAAGCATTTTATGGTCTTGGGTATGTGGCCATGGACAAGTACCATGAACATCATTTGCCAATACTGAGGACCACTGCAGGGCAACCATAAGTCCACTGGTTGGGACTCAGATGATCAAGTCGGGTCTTCGCTGGAACTACTTCTACTACACATTACTTGGTGCATCCATTCTAGACCTAATGGTGAGCTCTACTCTATTCTGGAAGGAGAATGCGGCTAGCTACAGAGCCAAGAACCACAGAAGTTCCGATACTGGCGGTGGGAGCAGAACTACAGAGGCTATGAAAAGTCCTATTACCTGGCTGATAGCTGTCTGGCTGTTTGTGTACATGGGAGTTGAAGGTTCGTCAATCTCCCAGATCGCTGAATCGAATGATCCAACTGATGATTGAATCTGATAAGTGTCGGTGGGTGGTTGGGTCGTGGACTTTATGGTCCAGGTCCGCCATGGCGCTCCCTACGAATCGGGTCTGATTCCAACCGGCTTTTGGGCTGGTGTCACCATGGGCCGTCTTGTTCTCGGTTTTGTTAACGACTGGTTAGGCATGTTTCCCCTTCCCCCCATCAAGGCCTAACCACATAAATACTGACTGTAATTAAGGGGAGCGAATTGCTATCAGCATTTACCTCGTCATTTCAATTGCCCTAGAACTCATCTTCTGGCTCGTACCGCAGTTCATCGTCTCCGCAGTCGCTGTCTCGCTGCTAGGCTTTTTTACTGGCCCCCTCTTCCCCGCAGCCATTGTTGTGGCGGCTAAGTTGCTCCCCAAGCACCTACATACCCCTGGAATCGGACTTGCGTCGGCGTTGGCTGGCGGAGGTGGAGCAATGTACGTTTGCCTCCCTTGCTTTACAATGGTCCATGACCTATTGCTGCTTGACATCCTCGGCTAATCCGCAATTTTCATTAAAGACTCCCATTTGTTGCTGGTGCTATATCCGGGGCGCGCGGAGTACAGAGTCTGCAGCCATTCGTCCTCGCATTATTGATTGCATTGATCGCTATATGGGTGCTGCTCCCTCGGAGGAAGCATCGTGCTTACGCTGTTTGAAGCAGTGGTATAACACCGTGGCTGAATATAAGTAAACCTGTGGTAGAACAAACGGGTATTTTTACGATAATAAATGATACAGATATGTGCAGATATATTTGTCCTATTACCTTATATATCATTTTACAAGAGTGTGTACTACGTCTGTGCAGGATCACTAAACATTATCTCTTACTAAAAATAAATCAACTCAACTGCACTTCCAATATTGATTATGTAGAATTAATTTCCTGATGGGAATAGGGAGCCTGAATTTTATCGTTTTCATTTATTTTTAGAAGTGTTTTATATAAGCGTATTGGTGACTTTATTTTCATAACATTGGATTGATTGGTAGATCTCTGTCCATACGAAAATAATTTTCAATTCATAAAATCGTTCATGTTCTCTGCTGTTTATGCTCTTAGATTATGACACACATATGACATAAGAAAGTATAGAAGCCTTGATAAAGTAAGTAAAGACCGCTGCAGATTGAATGGAAATATATAACTTGGCAAGATGGGAGGCCTTTGGTCACTGTACTGTCTTCATCGTCAAAAAGAGAAAAGCATCCTTGACCTCCGGTCAACTTCGAACCACTGTAGTATATATCACGACAATATATTCCTCCTGTCACTACTAGCCGATGATATGCGTATGGACTCCTTCGTGTCACTCTCTCAACCCTAGCACTATCGTCTGAGCATTCGCCAAGGCTCTTTGGCATGTTTCCACCCTTCGCTTAACTCCTTCTGTACATTCGGGATTCCTTCCAGCTTCAGAGATTTCTCCCTCCACAGTGACCGTGGCATGTAAATCTCGGGTGATATTAGCAACCTCCTCGCTAAGCTTCTGATTTAACTCCTCAAATGCTCCGTCGATTATTTCTTCATAGTCGAGAGCAATATTGTCGGCAAAGTCTTGGAATAGACTACGTGAACTGAGATGACGATTCATGGTTTGCTTCCGACGCGAATCACTTCCCGTTCCTATGCGAGCCATTTTGCATTAGCACCCAAAGAAAATGTGATTGAATGGAAGATGAGAGAGATAGCATACCGCTTTGTTGCATGCAATGGTTATAGACTGGACGCATGACTCCCGCAATATATGAGCTCGCGTGTCCACCCACTGTGTCTTCCATGATATTTCTGCAAATCAAATTAGTCCATCTCTCACAGTAGCATACAAATTCGTGCACAATACTCAGTGTCATCAGTTAGACGTTCGATGGAGCAATGAACAGCGTCCAGTATACACGTCCGTCGCATTCGGAGGTTCAGAATCAAGTTTCCTAGGGTTTCGGGGGCCAAATCCCGTTGCTCTGACAAGTCAATAGTCAATGACACCAGCCCTTTAACCCTTGAGGACGCTTGGGAAATGGCGTACCGTGTATAGAATCATGCACCCCTTGAAATATCCTGGAGATTTCGTCTTCGAGCTTCTTACCCTCTTCTTCAAGCCGGTTGAGCACGGATTTCCACGCCAGAGATAGCTGGTCAATTCCCGAGCCGAGAATCTCTTCGTTCCAGCATCGATACGGTTGTTTTGCCGTTTGATACGTTCCGTAGTTGCGACAGAACGCTGCATATGTCATGTGGTGCCACTGCAAGTATCCAAAATCAGGTACGTAGATTCTCGGGGTACTGTGGGTCCCACTTACAGTTGCCCATTCCGAGCTCGCCTCGACTGCATCGTCCCTCCAATCACGTCGACTTCGGCCTGTCTTAATAGTTATTTACTTTGGTCTTCAAGACTAGGTTGCAGGTCGGTGCCTACGAATTTGCTGTGTAATAGCTTCGGAGAATTGCCTCCTGAGGTTACTCTGTAATGAGTGTACCTGCGAGCCATCACGGGTTATGCTCTACGCGAATTAGCAATCATGGCATTTATAACCAAGAAGCAGATAGTAGATGCAGTGTGGGAGCCTGCACCTAGACCGGGCAAAGTGCATTTGGATATTGGGACAATTACCGTACCCCTTTCAGACTGCTTTCGGCTTCAGTCAAAACCCGTCGCAAGACTTCTGCCCGGGCCATAGTCATGGTGCTAGTCCCTGCTAAGGCCCATTGCGTAATAGAACCCAGCAGCGCTGGCACTTCATGTTGAAGATAAGATACCGTGGCTCGGAACTGCGCATCTGCTGGCACTGATTGGCAGTACTGTCGAAGTTCTTGGATACCACTGAGTGCCAAATACCCATTGGCCTGTCGTGGATCGTCCTCACAATGGTCAGAGTAGAGCTTATTGCTCACGCAGAATATGCGAGCCATTCCCCCCCAGGCATGCAACAAAGAGTTGGTCACAGATGTATTTCTTCGAATGACGAGGAAGTTCATCAACCTGGCAAGTTTCAGATCAGACCAATATGTTAAGTTGGAACAACCAAAGTAAGGGTTCTTACTGAAGCTCAAGGGTTTCTTTCTGATCCCTACAATGAATGAGATATATGAAAATTAGGAGTATCGTGCATCAGTGCTACTTACCTGAGGTTACTTTCCTCTGCAGCGAGACTCTGCATCCTACTTCCGTGCGATTTTCGTCTGCGAGTACCTGTCTGCGTGATCCTGCGATCGAGCTGCCGGATTTGGTTGTTCATATTTCGGATACGTACAGCATCTGCTGCAGGAGCGGTACGTGCCGTCTCTTCTGAATTGACGTCCTAAATTTCAGTGGTCACTTTCATGTCACCTAGATAATGACTCTGAAAAGCACTTACCTCGGAGCGAGTACACACAATGCGGATAGGCTGATCCCGCGCACATCGACGGATGATATCCCCTATTGACTGATCGGTTGTACATCGCATAATATTACTCACAATAAACACCTCGTCGCAGCTGTGGCGTAGGTACCTTTCCGTCGCTCGCACCCGAGCGTAGTTTAAGTCGCGAAATCCTGCACATTGTGCTCTTAGCTTAATTCTGCATGACACCATTATAATATCTCGGTACGGTACCTGGGAGGTCGGCCAAAACTAAACCCGTGCGTAGAACGGGCGAGCGCAAATAGACCCTATGTATGGATTAGCCACATAACGCAGCATTTGCATATGATCACTCCTGCTATATACCTGATCAACTTCACAAACGGCCACAAAGCAGGGTTATCACCGTCGTCATCATTGGCCATCAGTCTGTCAAGATGCTTCATGCATTGATCCGCATGGTGAGACACAACCGTATACTGTAAGTTATCACGCCCTCCTGGTCGGGTATCTAAGCCCGCCATGGCCCAATCCAGCAAGGTCCTCGTGATTGTAGTGACGGCCTCGTCTCCTTCCTGGGCAAGGAAATCAATGTCCAGGTCCCGCTCATGAGGAAAGAGGGATTTCAAGGTGTCCCAGGCTCTTTTGGCCGCAACTTTGATATTCTCCTGCTCTTCCGACGTTCTCACTTCACGGAAGGCTTCCGTGTAGTATTTCCGAACACTGGATAAAAGCTCCTCGAGGAGCTCACTGACCTCGTCATTGTCCATGAAATCTGCAACAACGGTATAGTTTTCTGGATAGGTATCATTTACACTCCGGAATTCGGTAACGACAGTGGTGCAAGCAGCACCGTCTCCGCTCTATGAGAAGGGTAGAACATCGGGTGTTAGTTGCTCATAGGTATATTATAACAATTTGTTTTAAACTCACCGACCGAGCCAAGCCCTCTTGATCTAGAAGCGAATTTATCAAACTGCTCTTCCCTGTTCGCACGAATTAGCCTCTCAGTACGTGTATCAGCTATCTTTCCGATACTTACCAACACCCGAGTCGCCGATGAAGCCTACCGTGCGTGTCGCTGGATAAGCGAATCGACTTGCTTCACGTGTCTTCTCATAAAGCTTGGACAAGTCACTACTATTGTCGTGGGCAAGGGCGTTACCGCTCATTATTTGTGCAAGACTCGTCAGTTCACTCCTGACATCTCGCAGCGCATTTTGAAGTCGAATATCATAGATAGGCTCCTGGGGAAGAGACTCATGACGAATGTTGTAGGCATCCTCATCATCTTCTTCCGCTGCATCTCCCTCACTGTCGACTGTAGAGCTTCTGTCGGAATCAGAAACATAACTATCTGCGTCTCCCAGATTTAGATTCCGGAAATGAGAGCTGACATCTCCCGAGGGCGAGGTCGGTGACCGTTGTTGGCTTGGTCGTACATAAGAGGGACCTATAGGGCTAGGGGTAGAATTGTGCAGATCCCGGTAGGTTGTACGATGGGCGCTGCCCGTAGGTGTTAAGCCAGAATCGTTATGAACTATGCTTGATTGATTACTTGGTGGCTGTTGGGCTGCAGGAGAGTTGCTATCGCTCAGATGGAGATCTTGAAAGAGCAACCGCGTGGTTGGCGTCGTAGAGGATCGGCGACCTTCTGGGGTAGCTGCGTTGAAGCCGTCGACGGACGAATTCGGGGTCAGGCATTCGGGAGACGATGGGCTGCAGGAGAAGGTAAACTCGACCGAAGGAAGAGGCTGATCTCTGTTTATAGAAGATGGGATCGCTTCCGCGCTCCTGGTGGGAGTAGTACCGTGTTGATCCGCGTTGTCAACCATGACGCTGTTGTTGCACACCTGATGTCCACTATGCAGGAAGTAGTTGTCGAGACCATCAGTATCTGGGGACTCGTGATCATTATAAGAAAAGGAGGTTGAGCATGCGGGGCTTTGTACGGCGCTTATGATCGTTTCATGTGGTGGAGAACACTGCGTGGGAAAGAGCCGTCTCTGCTAGCCTCGGCGCCAAACATTCCTAGCCAGAAGCACGCGAGACTAGTCAATTTACCACGAAGATTGCAGGGGTCGGTCGCTCCAATTGCCCTCTTTGGAATGAACTGGGAGTGCACTTGGGATAAGGATAGTTCTCCAACTTGATCCCATTGCTGCCAACGGATAACTTAGACATCTAGCTAATAGTAGATATCGGCTTTACCGAGAACCTCGAGATAGAACCCTCATGCAATCAGTTGTAGTCAAATTACCGTTGCTGACCTCAACATGATTGTTACATCGTAGACTACCGGGCGCTCAGATTGTTGCATGTCTTATCTGCGAGAGCCAGGACTGCCCATAAAAGGCTTCTCCTGATAGTGTCGCCGCTTTCCTGGATGGCTTCTTAAAGCTGGTGTTTGTCCACTGCCCATTGTCACTTCCGTTGCAACCCGCCGTTAAACACGCTGCTGTTGATGCCGGTATAGACACACTGGACTATAGCATGTCGTTCCTCAATCTCCCAGATGTGCGCTGGTGACCCGTCAGGCCTTTAGGACACACTCTCCCTTTGTACGTACTCTTTGCGAGTTTTAATAAGAGATAAGAACCAGGACTGTCGACTTAGCCAGTCGGGGTTTCACGCTTAGACAATAGGGCAAAGCCGCGACGGCCCGGTGCAACCTTAAGGGCCACTAACCGTTCAAGCACTTTACTCAGTCCGGAAATACTACGAGTCAGCTGTCGTCTTACTAGTACGCATTAGTCTCGGCGGATACTGGTTCTCTTCTGGCACAGCCTTGTTCCATATCTCAATCTTGTGCTTTCACCCTCATAGCCCCGCGATGGTCGTGATAATATCAGCAACCAACTAATAGTGATAATTTATACCGAGTCATGCATGGCATGGCCGAGGGATTGAGATCACAACTCGTCTAATAAAATGGGAAGGCGAACTAGTTTTCGTGGCTCGGCCTGCTATACTACGCTAATGTGTCTCGCTACCATACAAAGTTGCGGGGATGGTACTTAGTTTCGCTGGATAAGTTCACACAGCCTCACGTAAGAACGACCCGAGTCATGTGCTCTCTCCAGAAATGCTTGTCGTTTCTCAGAGGCCAAATTATCAAGCCCCCATATTCACGTAACCGCTCAGGCCATGAGTAGTTGACAATGATGATCTTGATCAGTTGTCCAGTATAACTCATTCGGCCTTCAAGTCTAACATTCAAATTTCTCCTGGGCGAAAGTTCACAACAATTCGTTTGTAGGCTCTCCCGAAGCAATTGAAAAACTACTTCTGAACGTAATTCCTACGAACAAACAAGCCCCTCACCTGTGGTCTTTCTATGTAGGATGACTTGACTCGTAAGATAAATTCTTACTAGGTGCTCTTAACCTGCAATTTTGGTGTTGGAGTCCGAAGGAAGACCCAGTAAGCAAAGAGTATATAGCAAGACAACCTTGATTCAAAATAATTTTCTCTCTTGAAGTGATTACATGCAGATATTAGTAATAAGTTAACATCACATAATTTGGTAAGCCACAGATCGCCGTAACTGAGGGGACTTACTGGGACCATCATATGCTTGATGAAACGGGCCCTTCGTAGCTGGCCTATTATCAGGCGTAAGATAAGTAAAACCTCTTTCTGAAGAATGTGGCCATCGTCGGCATTCAGGTCATTGTAAATAGTGCCCTTCATGTGTGCATATGGTCCTTCTTTAACCTGAACGATATCAGTGAAGCCAAATTTTGGAGAATTTAACAGTACAGGTCCTTGTACACACCGTTGTCATACTCTTATTGTATCAGCATCATGAGAAAAGTTGTGTCAATCGGGTATGCCATGTTCTCTTACTCCACCAGAGACCACACGACCTCACCAACCGGAGGCTTCTTGGCATTGGAGTAGCGTGAGATATAGGCAGGCCAGTATGTCGATTGCTTGTGCGCAGACCTTGGGAGCCCTCCAGTCTTCGGAGATATATTCGTATGTATCATATGGCAACCTTTATTTTGCATCATACTCCTCGTTAGGCATCTGCAGGAAAGATTCAACCAAAGAGGTAAAGTAGGTCGGTCTGTCTTCGGAGTTCTCATCCAGAACCATAAAAATTAACCGGATTTGATCACTTTCAGATGGAGCTACCTGGTGGTCGGGCTTCAGTTCTCTGATTTTCCTCTCGAGTTTACACAACGATTTGCGCATTGCCTTCCTCCCGAGGTCTTCGGGGGAAACGGACATGATTGGGACAGATGAAGCCGATGAAGATAGATAAGGGAAATGGAATCGATCGGATCGACATATTAGATGAATCACATGGAATAGATGAGGGAATGAGGTTCTTTATGGAACGGGCAGGGAACAGCCAATGCATTGAGGTTGGCTAACGTCAGGCCCCCCAACATCCTTCGCTGAGGATAGAATGGAAATTCCCGGCGACAAACATTAACTGCTTCAAGTATTGCAAAACCTCGTCCAGAATAGCAACGATATCCGCAACTTCAGTATAAACAGAAGCTATGGCTCTGTACCCTCGACGAACCGCTGAATAGATGGATGATCTGGTAAATACGTACTGCTAAGATGAATTTTATCTTCTATAAGTTGACTCCATTCCAAAAGGTCTGGGAATATAGGCAGTGCGTTAGTGACGTAGAATTTGCCTTTAGGGAGGCTGCAGCTATTCCCCTATTCTATGTCCCACTGACGCCCCTACTCATTTATAAGGGTGCCTATTGTCCGCGATGACTTAGACATCAAGGTATCTTTTTGTCTTCCCAGGATATCCAATATTCATATATAGTATATTTCTTTCCCTTTGCCTACTGAGCCCGTTATTTGGCAGAAGGCAGTCGCGAAGCACGATATTATACGCACAACGGCGAATATCGCTAACTTCTATTCCAAGAATATCATTCTCAAAATCCAATCCAGTGATATTCAATACCAGCTTCCGATGAATCGGTTGACGGCAAGTCTGTTATCCTATATAACCCGGACGCTTTAGAACAGACAGAGTAGCCAACGGTACCCGTGCCCAGTTCCTGAGAAACTTCAGCGACTCATATTCCCATATGCCAAAGACAGGCAGATAGTGAATGCTGCTCTCATAGCATCTCTGGATGCCCTTACAACCGAGTTTGGCTATAACAACATTGTGGCTGGATACCGCACAAGGTATTCTTTCTTTGCCAAAATGTGAAGCTAGCTGCTAAGAATGAGGCTCGAACGGACGGATATCTCGTCAACGGCAATGAAAGTCCTTCTTAATCTCTTATCGAGGTAAACCCGGTCACTCGAACAATACTGAAGCATAATCAAGTGGGAGTTCAGATGTCGAGATAGACCAGAAAGGAATGTGATGCTCTTCGACTCACGCTGTAGGTTCCCTCCTTCTACCAATACCTGCCTTCCTTCGACCTTATATTAACGGCATATAGATACTCTGATGTATCTTAAAATCGGCACGAAATGTCCATAACCTTTGCAGAGTATAGTAACATCAATTGCCAGAGGCCCGCAGACACCGAAGTCCCGTCAATCTTGACTATGCATCAATTAATATGGACCGTGGGATACTACCATTTCCGGACCCACACCCTATATCGAGGCTAATATCACGAAGGTGGGGAACAGATTGGAACAATCTGGTCGGCCTTTGACTCTCTCAAGCTAGTTCTCGGGTTATATAGTAGTTAATAAGTTAGTCCTGATTTTTATCTGGTTTCCTTACAACATCTCACATCTATATATTGACACTTTATGACTCAAACTTCAATACTATTATAAAATCCAGTATTAAACAGGCCGATAAGTCTCCCATCAGTCCTTAACGCACTGCACCTTGATACTGCACTGCTGTCGCGTGTTCTAGCACTCTCCAACATTCATTTAGTATCTTCTACATTTGTCGGTCAACTCATTCTTTTCTAGGGGAGATAAAAGAAACATCAAAGATTTACTAATATAAACGAACGTAACTTGATTAGATTTGAATGATTGATGTAGTAGCTTGAACATGCTTCAGCCGTACGAAAGTAATCGGATATATAGATTTCGGTATGCGAAGGGTAATTGATTAATCATTCACATAGTGCTTTGTTCTGTTGTATTCTTTTGGTAGCTCTAATAAAGTCTATACTAAATAGTAATATACTAGTTATTCTCAACTTTAGACATCATTGCTAAGGTTTCGCTTGTTCGCATGACCACTAATGAGCAGCGGCAGCGCCCCGTATCGAGCGCTCTACACAGTGGTACTACTTAGCGGGACAAGACAACCAGAACCAATTATGCTAGGGATCATCATGATCAGCTCTGCGCCCTTGATTGCACCGCACCCTTTTCAGTTTTGTCAGAAGTTAATCAGCAAAATACCTGTTCCGTAGAGACCGTACTTTCGATACACTCTACAAAGTAAATAGTCTTTACAAAATTCATGCCCAACTGACTAGTAGTCCGGTCTCAAAAATGAGAAGCAGAACCCCCTTGCCTAGATAGGCAGATTCAAAACACACGAATTCAACGCGTACCGGATCTATGCATATACACAAGTGTAACTTTCTAGCTTTGGGCAAGAACTTGAACAACATTGGAGTAGCAAGAGCGAGAATATGAGTCCCAAACTAGGGCGGGGAAGAAGTCTAAACGGATAAAGGTTCAATAGTTGTCCCCGTGGCTGGAAATAGTCCGAGCATGATTATGGTGGATGGGAGGGTTGGGATCCCCGGATAAGCAAGATTAATCACGGCGGAATAGAATGCAAGGGAAACCTGGCCAGCCAGTTGTAAGTGAACTGCTGGCAGTGGTAGATTATAGGTTGAGTTTAGGTTGGCAAGTAGGTGTCATGTGTTTATTTGGTTTTTCTTTTGGGGGAGGGGAGAGAGGGGAGGGGGGAGGTAAGTAGGTTTCGGTTATTGAGTTCGGGTTGAGAGGTACGAGAGTTTGGGAGGGTTAGGTAGCTCTTGTATGCAGGGAGGTGAGAGATAGCTACGATAGCTACTCCTGTAGGGTATAGTATTGAGGGAAAGAAGAAGAGGGGGAAAGAGGGGAACACACATGCATAATTTAGATGCGGTGTACATGCCTACCTGCATTACAGACGAGATGTCATACAAACAACCAGCCGGGCATCCCTGCTGCAAGAGACAAACCTGCAGGTAACAACAGCTGTGGTGGTGGTGGTTGAGAGTGTAGAGCGGGATACCAAAGTGTGGATCAACCGGAAGAGACGGGAAGGTGTCGACCCAATATTCATGGGCAACCGATTTCTGCTTCCATTCAGCCTTGTGGGTCCGGCATCACAGGTCCATTGTTGAGTCACGAAGCCTACTTTGAACAAACAAGCCATGTTGTCGAAAGGAATGGAAGAGAGGGAGGGATGGATAACCACGGAAAGGGAGGAGCAGGTGACTGCTGGAAACCGAGGAGGATGATCTCATTCTGCCGACCGTTCCGGGATGCGAGGATCTGCAGAAGTGCAAGCACGGCGGAAGATTTAGTCTTGCTGTAGCTCGAAGCTTCTCGAGAAGAGGACGAGAGAAAGAGGGAAGGTGGATGTGTGCATTGACTGATTATTGATCCCGCTGGAACCCGGCGGGTTGCACGATGGGAGGTGGCGTGGTCGCCATTGGTCTGTGCCGAAGCTGGTGGAAGCTGCTTGATGACCGCCGCTGAGTAAAGAGCTGAGTCACGGTGAAATCATACATTCTTGTATTTAGTTATTCAGTATGAAGAAAACTAGATGATTCTGGTGATGGAATGGATGATAGAATGGAATGAATAATGTAGGGAAGAATGATGGAAAACAGTAGAAATGAAGCCAGAAGGGAGTATGAGGATAGAGAAGAAAAGCAAAAGACCGAAGGAAAGCCGGCCAAGATCCAGACCGGGCGATCCCCCGTGACGCCAAGCCATGACGATGGAAGTTGAGTGGCTTCACGCCCTCATTTCTTCAATCAATCAAATCACCTTTCAGTCACGCAACCTGAAAAAAAAAAATCATGAGTTGACCAACAACATCTCGTCTCCCTTGCCTGGTCCGTTCCGGCTCTGTCCATCTGGCTCCATCCATCAGTCCATGGTCCACGCAGATCCTCACACTAGCCATGCCGGACCTGATCCCCGCCCCGGCTGTGATGCAGACCCAGCTGCGTTGTTGCGCTTGTTGTTGCTGCTGTGATGGCCATCGCGTTCCATCTCGGTCGGGCACCCCTCTTGTCCTAGGAACAGTATGATGCTGGCCCCTAGTTTAGTAGTATACCTCTGTTGATGTGGTCTTCCTGCACAACTACGGCAATCTGGTCAGTGCAATCACACAACCCCTACTACCTTCCCGGCGCAACGACTGGTCCGCCTCGGAACTGACTTACTTCATGCAGAGGAAATTATGACGCATCTGGGGGAAAGCGCAAAAAAACCCGCCAAAGCTGGCTCTCCTTCCGTTGGCGTCGTTCAGCTTCCCTGGACAGGCCACTGCACAGGGCCAGAAAAACTTTCGGCTCAAGCTCCAGAAAAAAAAAAACACAACAGTATCCTCTGACGTAAAAGATACGCCCCGTTGATTCGGTCCACCATTCACCCTTCCGTTCTATCCATTCAAGCCGGCCAGGCGACATATAAAGAACCTTGTCCTGGTCTCCCACTCCTGGGCATTCTCTTCCCCTCTTCATCATCCATTCATCAGAGCCGGACCAACCAGTCTGTCAGTGGAACTGAGCTTCTCTTTGCGCCTCGCCCAATAAACTACCAGTTGCTCTTCTAATTCACTTTATTACCATCTCTATACACTTTCAGTCCAGTCAACCGCAGCCATGTTCTCCAGTACCGTGGCCCGTCCACTACAGCTGGCCACCCGGTTCATGCAGTGGGCCAGTGCAGTCATCGTGATGGGTATCACTTCATACTTCATCCACAAGGGACCTCGCGGCCAGCACACTATCTACTGGGAAGTCATTGTAAGCATGCTCCTATCCTTGATCTAAACAAGTCGAACCTAATCAAACTAACCATGGATTAGTCGACCATGTCTGTTGTCTTCTTCCTGCCCGCCTTCATCTCGCCGTTCATGCCCAATGCCCTAAGCAAGTTTGTCCTGATCATCGATGTCATCTTCTCGTACCTGTATGTGCCATCCAATCAACTATGACCATGTGCTGTTACTGACTATAACCACAGCTGGCTCACGGCTTTCATCTTTGCCGCACAAGACTACAACTGGCACAACTGCGCCTTCAACTCTCCCCCCGGCCTGTCCTGCTCTAAGAAGAAGGCCAACGAAGCCTTCATCTTCCTGACCTTCATCTTCACCTTCTTCGCCATGTTCCTCGAAGTCGGTGCGCTCTGGGCCTACCGTCGCGAGAGCACCCCTGTCCGGGAGAAGAACACTGGTGGCGCTCACGGCGGTCCTGCTGACGCGCCTCTGGCCACAGCCTAGACCTCAGACTCTACCTGATAATACCATCTCGTCGTGTGACGGCGACTACATATGCCAACGTCCTCTCTTGCGCAGCATCTATCCGTCTGCATCCACGTCCTGCACAGGGAAGAGAAAGTCGTCCATCTCCCACGAGATGAGGATTCGATACCCCTTTCTTGTCTCTCTTTTACGACCATGATACCACAGTTGACTTTGGCTTTGATTGAACATCTACCATTAATACTGATGATGCTTATACTTCTGATATCCCTACATACTAATGTCCCTTCGTTAATGTCCGTACGACTTGAACATGCTTGAACGACCTGAAGAACACGGAGTAGGTGGTGGGTGTGGGTGTGGGTGTGGATGTGCATAGATGGACCGGGGTTGTGACTTGGGATCGTTACTGTTACTAATACTATCTTTACTAATTACCACCATAATCTTGTCTTGTCATTCTTTCCCGACTTGATTGTATTCTATTCTACTGGATCTACCCCCGCGCCGTGTTGCGTCAGGGCCTTCCACTGTGTAATAATAGTACGATAATAATATACAGTCTTGTGTCTAAAATGAAGAGATAAATCAAACGATGCAGTCTTACCTTTAAAACAATGTCATAAGATCAGTGAAACTACAACGAGCAACTCGTAACATACAGCGTACGTATGGAGTATATTATTATTCATGACGGACACACATTACTAACCATTGAACCTGGGTACTTCCAACACAGTAAGTGGTAGTATATCAAGTTCACCCTGAATCATTTAAGTACTCCATCATTCTCGACTGCATAGTAAATAGAACCAATAGAAACACACACACATATATATATATATATATATATGTATATATAAATCATCAACTTGCCTCAGCTACCATTACCAAACAGTACATACATATATACATAACTACTATATGGCTGAAATGATAGTACTACTTACTCAGTTCTCGCAGGATCTGGGTGAGTCAAGTCAGTAGTAGGGTGGGAGCAAGCTAGACTGAGCTGAATTGACAGCAATAAAAAAATTGAATGATAAAGTTAGTAATAGTCATTAATAGTATCTGAGATAGCAGGCCCACGCAGGTAAAGAGACACATACTTACTGCTTGATGTATATGATATATATATATGAGTTATATCGGAAGAGGTTTCACGGTGGCTCCTCAAGTTGATATGTTGATGTTGAACAGTACGGAGAGTGATGTAGTACAATAGTAACTTACTATACTTAACTTTGGGTTTGTTGTTCTGTCTGTTAGTACTAACTAGTTATGCTTATATCAAACTACTAGGATGGACCGGCGCCTCATGCGATTATGCAAGTTTACAAAATGTCGAAGTCTGTCATGTCTATTCATAGTCTATCTATTTATTGCTTTGCTTCAAAAGTCTATCCAAGTCGTCATCTTTCTTCTCTCGTTTCAAACAAGGTTCCATCTACGCGTACAACACCGCATACACCCGCATAGTCAGCTGATCGTACATATGCATACACACATCAAGCGCGTCCCAACCCCTGTGGAAAATCCAAAATATTCAGAGGGTCCCACTTCTTCTTAATCCCCTTCAACCGGTCCAAAGCATCCCCATAATACATCTCTGCCCAGTCCTGCAAATATGGGTCGATATAATTTTGATATGCTTGCCAACCACCCTCAGGATCGGCCTGGCGCACCGCATCCGCGACATCGGAAAGCCTGTCAACTGCAGTCTCCCGTGCTGACGCATTTGTAAACCCCGGGAAATCCCAAGCATAGATTTGCGACATGAAGAGATTGTTTCGATGATTGAAGGCCATGGGCCCGACAGTGTCATGCGGGGGAAGGGTGGTGACGGCATCTGGACCGTTCAGGTCGAAGGAGATAAAGGCATCAGGCCCGGCAGGCTGGATGGCGGAGAATATATTCGCGATGGAGGTGCTAGTGTATTTAGGGTGACCGTCGTCGAAGAGGGATTTGGCGTAATAGGGTTGTGGAACAGACGGGGAGTCGAGGTCACCCATGAGATTGGTGAGAGCGGAGACCCAATTTGTGTAAAAGGAGCTGGTGGTTGTGAGGGGCTGAATGGACTGGCGTGCGAGTGGGGAAAGGAGGCGGTCGATAGTTCTGTTGTAGGCGGCGGAATCGCCGAGGTATTGGCCAGTGAAGGTGCAATAGGCCTTAGGGGCCTGGTAGCCACCATCTATGATGAGTTCTCCACCCAGAGAGGTTGGAAAGCCGACAGAGGAGGTCGCCGGTAGGGATCCGATCTCTTGTAGGGTTAGAAGGACCTGTACGCAGTCTGACTGAGTCGCGAAGCCAATGTTGTAGTTAACGATGGCCGTTGGAGCGGGCTCCATGCGGTAGGTGAACGACGTCACAATGCCAAAATTGTTGGAGCCAGCACCGCGCAGTGCCCACCAGAGGTCATCATTCTCGTCGTCCGTAGATGTGGTATTGGACTTTGCCGCCTTAGGGCTGATCGTTCGGATGCGGCCGGTCACGTCCACAAGCTCCAGTGAGACCACTTGCCATGATATTAGCTGGGACCTTGGCGAAAGGACTCGAACAGATCATTCAACTTACCTCTGTCTACTAGCCATCCCCACTCGCGAGAGGTAAACCCCCAGCCACCCCCCAGACTGTGTCCAGCTACCCCCACCCCCGGACAGGTGCCATGAGGCAAGGCATATCCCGCGCGACCCATGGCCAGAGCCAGCGGGCCAAGCTTCTGACCCATTTGCACGGTTACCTCCTGTGTGCTCTCGTCGAGGGCAATGTCGGTCATCTGGCTGGAGTCAATGACGACCTGTCCTGAAAGACCGTACGCAGCATAGCCATGGCCACCGCCACGGGTCGTGAGAGTGACCCGACCCTGCTCGGCTGCCACGCAGCGAACAGTAGCAGCAACTTGTTCCGTTGAATTTGGAATGACAACAGCTTGAGGATGAGGGTGGTAGTTGCTGTTGTCTGCCACCGTGAGATTCGAGTACCCAGCATCCGTGGCGTATACAACGGAGGCGCCAGTGGTTCCTAGACAGGATTCAAGGGTTCTCGGCAGCGCGCCATGATTGGCTGTTGCGGGGGTGGAGATGTTCCCAGGGTTCTGGTGTAGGGCTGCGAGTTGGTTGGGCAGCGTCAACAAGACTGCTGCCATGAATATGACTGGAGGAGCCATGACGTGAATCGTAAAGGTGGGTGATACCGTGGTGAACAGGACCAAGGGGCATACCAAGGACTGGTGCAATGTCCTTGGCCAGTTTTCTTGGGGGAAAATCGAGGAAATGTAAGGGGTAGCGGTGTGCACTAAGTCAATTCGCGGTTCAGATCGGCGGGAAAAGAAATGGGAAAGATGCCATTTTATCAAGGGGTACGCTCATTCCGGGAAATCTGATGTGTCTCAGAGGCGCCGACAGATATAGAAGTCATTCTCAGATCTCTCCCCAATACGCCTTCCGCGGCTGTAACTCCACATACATTCCTTCCTCAGCATGCATCTCCTTATCACCAACCAGAGTCACATCTCCCCCTCTACCCCTCCAAATTTCCCTTTAATCGACGGATAAGAATCTCGCCCGTCGGTCTTCATCTGAGACATGACCGCATCCCTGTCTATCCTGCATCGCCTTCGTTGGGGGTGCTTTGTTGGCTGCAATGATCACCGTTCCAAAATCAGCCAATGTTCCTTTGCTAGCCCTTAGTCACCACATAAGCACAAGGTCTTATTGATACGAGGCCGGAAGTCGGGCAGAAGGGTGACCGATAATGAGCAGCCGGCAGTCTCGGCTCGCACACGAAACACGGAGAAACTACCTGAGTGGACAATGCCTCTGTCCACCGTCTATCTATCAGCTTGCCAATACGTTGCAAATCAGAAGACTTGCAAGACGAGGCAGCCGCGCTAACATATTGCAGGGGCGGGAGGCTATACGGAGCGGTCAGGACACCAGTTAGGCCCGACATCTGAATCCTGCGCGGCTGTGTAGTGATATCACACTGGCCGGTGATGAATCAGCCGCAACAGGCTCACACGCATACTTACGCTGTCAGCCTAGTATTGACGGTCGCACCAGAAGGAGCCATAAGACCTGACTCAGCTTATGCAGGAATTTGGCCCAACAAAGTGCCAAAGATGTCGTGACTCAAGAGCCAGCATCGATTTCTGGGCACATCGCGTAAAGCTCACAATAACACTGTTGGACATCGGGGCATCTGGTATATTGAGTCAGCATTTTTTCCATTTTGCATCAGATAGAGTTCGCAGCACATACGAAACAGGCTGCTCAAGGAAGATGATATGCCAGAGCATCTCAAAAACCGACCCCGCCGCAAAGTTATCCATATCGGTCGCCAAAGCCCAGTCGCGTATTCGCACATAGTCATCTCGTGGCCGTTCCCGGATACGGTCCCTTGTTAGTACAAATTGACCACAACAGACCCCACCGATCTCGGTAGGGACCTGGTCCCGGGGCACGGAGAACATGTCCATGTAGATAGAGGTGAAGTTGCGATACACCACGTTATGATTCGACTCCATGGCTGGATCAAAGGGACGCACGGCCACGGGACATCCTGGGCGGTGCTCACAGCGGAGATTCGCATACCCAGCCTTTTTCACGGCGTCCAGGCTGAGTTTTTGCAGCAGGGAAGATGAAGCCATGTCGCCAACATCGTTATGCCACTGAGTGGCGGAGGCATGCATGAAAGCCGTAACATCCGCAAGGTAGTCGTAGTGTTCAATGATGTGCGTCAGGTATGCCATGCCCTCGCGGGCCTTGTTTGCCGGGATAGGACGGTATCCAGGCTCTTTGTCGGAGGTGTAGATGTAAGGTTTCCAACTATCCGACTGGTGAGCATGCCGTAACAATAATCCGACCGGGAGGAATTAATTCTAGTACACTTACTGGGGCTTGAGAGCGTAGGCCCAGGCGACATCCTCAGAGCTAGTTTTAGCCAGAACCAGTGCGTTCGGTTTGCGCCTGGCCGGATGTTTCTCGACTCGACCTGCATAGCGTTAGCTACCCTGGTGAGTTCAATCCCGGGCTTTGGAGGTGGAATCGTACTCAAAACTAAAGTGAGATCATCCTTCAACAGTCGGATATACAGTAGAGCCAGGAGCCCCAAGCAGAACATGGTGAAGCACCATGTATACAGGCGCCTGGAGCACATGGGCAGACCCAGCGATTGAACCATTTTGTATAGGTCCCACTCACGGGGGGATAATTCGGGCTTCGAAGACGCTGGTGTCTTTGAAGTGATCTCACCCGAGGCCGTTGGGGAGGGAGTAAATGGGATGGTTGATGAATAGGCTCAGCCTTGCATGATGGTTCTCGCATTAAAGTTTGGAGACCCTGCAGCATCGGGATTTGAGAATGGTGGCTTTGCTGGTCAGCGAGGCCGCACGCGCATTACAGAGAACACCCAGCTCTGTCAGAAAATAAAAAAAAGTCTCCGACAGATAGCGGGTGAATGAAATGGGATGAAAGGTTGGAAGAATAATGACGATCGATGATGATGTTGACGCTGATGTTTGATGATCGTCGGAGGAAAGCTGGCGAGGTCCGATTCGGAGGAGAACCCAAGCCGCGTGTCACAACAGCCGAGGGAGGGGGAAGGATGGGATTATGGGAAGCAAACAAACAAACAGAATTATTTAATTACTACTCACCCGCAGTCCAGCCGATAGCTTCAGCAGCAGATCAAGTGGAGCGATCGCCTGGCAACTTTTTTCTTTCTATTCTTCTCCGCTCCACGTATGGAATGACAGCGAAAGAGAATGTTGACCGATGAGAAGAAAGAAATCATCTATAAGTCGACTAAGCAATAAAAGGGTTTCTTTCCGCTGGGTCCCGGGATCCAGCTTTGCGTATGGCGAGGGTCTAGACCCCCTTGGGGCCGCGAATCATTCCAAGCAGAAAACTGGGGACGGGAACCACTCCCCAGTGCTGGGGCCAACTATTTAGATGGTCGATGGGGACGAGCGCGGGAAATAAATGAATTCTCTCGGTTACACGTCTATCTATACGTATCTATCTACAACTCTTGCACAGCAAAGAGGGGGATAGTCTCGGGTATAAAGCAGAAGATCACCGCTGAAAATCCGGGAGAAAAAGAGTGATACATGGAAAACAGAACTATCCCACCCCGGCCGGCTCGGTCGCAGTCAACTATAGCATCGTATGAGGGACACGAACATTAGATACTGGCGCGACGGGGCGCCAGAGTCCGCTGGAGCTTCTTCTTCTCCTCGGTCTCTTCGGGAATCGGAAGTGATCCCTCTCGCTTCAGCTTCTCCAAGTAATTCTTGCCATACGCATATCCCAGCTGGTAGATCTCGTCAAACTTCGCAAAGTCCAGGGTCCCGTATGGATCAATGGGCGGGCGCATGTACAGACACCCAGGGGTGTTCTTGGCACGTTCGAGATTCTCAATCGAGGACACATACGCCAGGCGCGCCTGAATTTCAGACAACGTAGGCGGGTTAGGGCACGAGCTGAACGGATTCCAGCGGTTCACCACGGCCCAAAACCCGGACAGGGAGTCGCCATACCCTTGCGGGGTGTTGTCGTCAATCGAGCCCACGTCAACCGCAAAGATCACATCCGCACCCAGCCCTTTCATATGGTCGACCGTAAGATTGTCAATGTAGCCGCCATCAAGGAGCATGCTACCTTCGTCGCAGATGGGCGGGATCAAGCCGGCTAATGACATGGATGCACGTACATACCGCCACGTGTAGCCGGAAGAGTGATATTCGGCACGCGATCGACTAATGTTGGTGGTGTTGCAGTAAAACTCCAGCCAGAAGTCTTCGATCTGACTATCCCCGAAGGTCTTGAAGATGCCACGGTTGAACTCATGCCCAGTAGTATAGGAGACGGTAGGGTATGTCAGGTCCAGAGCGAATCGCCAAATGCTTCCCATGCGGCCAGCGAACTTCTTTGCACGGCCATACATGGGCACAACGTCAGCATCCCGTGCATACAGGGCTCCGATGAAAGAACCAATTGAAGTGCCGCCAATGATATCGATGGGAATGCCTGCTTCTTCTAGAGCCTTGATTACACCAACCTGGGCAATGCCTCTGGCACCTCCACCACCAAGCACAAGCCCCACAGACCGGCCACAGAGCCGACGCGCTAAGCGATGGAAGTCACCCTTGAATGGTGTCTGTGCGGAGTATAGGGGCGACTGGCGGATACGGCGTGAGGTGTACTTCTGGATTTCAGCCTGAATGACCTGAACTCTCTGCTTTAAGACTGTCCCGAAGCGTTTGGTCTGGGGATGAGATGGCTCTGCCGTCAGTCGGAAGGCCATCTGTACATGATGATGGCCTCCATTGATCCAAACACGATTCTTCAGCCACTGGCGAGTCAGTCCCGGAGGGCAGTAGCGTTCCCCGTGCAGAAGAACTAATTCTTTCCGAGCGGTCGTCTTCATCCCAAGCAGAAACCTCTCGTATTCACCGATACTAGGCGTCGACTCCGCAAGGCCAACCAGCAAGACGCAGTCAGCCTGTGTAATACACGTTTGCGTCCACGGAGAGTTCACAGTCGTATCCGCGATGTAGAGGACCATGCCGTACTTCTCCTCCAGATCCGCCAGGTACTGTGACAACTTCAGTTTACCCATTTTACTGAAGGCATGTCTGCCTAGATGGTTCAGAATAGCCGCTTGATTGAGAGACGTGGCGCCGTTGGTCACCCCAATCTGGTGAAGCGCCTGTAGCAGCCTGTTGCCAAATTCGACGACGGGAACTCCTGCTGTTACAGGAAGGATGCCAACAGTACGAAGATTGAGCGTCGACTTTGCCGTCTTCACTGTGCCAGAAGCACCAGGTTCACTTCCCTTCTCGGCCACCGGAGTCTCAACAAGGTCCCGCATCCGTTGTGCAATGAGTTTGGAGACCTGAATAGTGATTCCCGGATGTTCTTGGGCGAGACTGTTGAAGAGAGTCCGGGGAAACTTGGCGAGTTCAGTATCGCGGATGGCATGGAGAGTCGCCGGGCGAGTCGATTCGGTCATCACCTCCAGTTCACCCACGCTTTCTCCCTGGCCGTACTCACCGACAACGGTCATCTTGCCATTGGGGCCTTCATGTACAGACCGCAGACGCCCATTCAAAGCAAGATAGATGGCATCGCTCTCGTCGCCCTGGTGATAGATCACCTGGCCAGCACTTACTTGCACCCATTCCAGGGCGAAGTCGATATGGAGAAGTAACCGCGGGAGCAGACTGGTCAGCCGCTTTGCCAACGTCAACAGGGCCAAAGGGTACCGCTCCGCTATCCTTTCCAAAGACGCCCGTGGAAGGAATCCTACGTATACATCTGTCTTCGCAACAACATCGGTATACGAGCGGTAAGATGCGACAGCGCCCACATAGCCTTGGATCCCACCGGGCTTAATCAAATAGAGTGACTTCCGTGACTGCTTCTTCCGCCTAGGATCGTTTGCTGCCGCTGCCGATCCCGACACACGAGAAGAACTCGTGTTGGTGCGTCTTAGCGTAGGGAACAGTTCCTCATGTGCTGGTCTGGATGATCCCACAAGGTCTTCTTCTTTGTCGTCTACGGGAATACCAACATCCAAGAAACCATCAACGACGTAGTACAAACCCGGATGGCGCTCGCCTTGCTCAACAAGAACCGAACCCTGAGGGAAGTAGACAATTTCAATGTCGTTTCGGAGCTCTTCCCTCAAGTTGACAATGGGCGAGGTGCCACCGGCACTGGTAACGGACATGGACATCATGGATTCGCTCTCACCATCCGCTGAGCCTTCGTAGGGATCAATGAACCCAAACGCGTTGTTGCTAAAGACGGCTTTCTGACGGCGAGAATCATACGAGAGGAGCTTCGGAGAAACGTCGCCTGAAGGGTGACTACTCTTACGCAAGAAGTCATTGGTGCTTCCGGTCAAGCCGATTCCTTTCATAATGCACTCCAGGATCGATTCACGGAAGAGCGCATCTTCGTCCAAGGACTCTTTCCGGTGAAAAGGAGATCCACGTCCCGGGATCATTGGAGATGGGGACCGTAAGGGGGAGTGTTCTTTCTCCGTAAGCGGACTCAGTAACCGGGGGGCGAGGTGCTCGTATCTCGGACCGAAGCGCGAAAGCTGAATGGTCGATAGAAGATCTCCAGGACTCACACCTGAGTTTTCGCGATCACTCAGTGCACTATCCTGAGCAACCATGGAGACTGGCCGTTTAGACGCGGCCATCTTTGCCTGAAGAGCGGCTTCCTTCCTTCGAAAGCTACTCGACCGGGGTCTTCGCCCTCCATACGGGTTATGCAACGCAATCCCTTTGGTAACTTCCTCTTGACCTAGGCGATCTCGCTCTTTGATGAACTTGTCCTTAAGACGGTCCAGAGCAGACCCACGCAGCTCATTTGGCAAATCGTAAGTTGTGAATTTTGTCATCTGCTTCTCGATTCCCAGCACCTCGTTATTTAGACCCAGATAGGAGTGCGCTGTAGCAAAGGTGACTCTCTGTAGGCGCGTAAGGATAACCTGGACGATATGGGCAGTCGCTTTCGGGTATACTCGGGTCAAGCGTCGGAATGCGCTTGCGGGGATGATCGCGATTGTCGTATCTACCATCGCTCGTGCAACAATATCTGGATGCACTGACTTCCTACGCGTTTTGCCCGAGTACTTCCTGCTTCCAGAGCGAGCAGAGTGGGCAGGTGGAACTTGGCTTTCGCCGAGATTTAATGGTGGCACAGCCGGTAGGTCTTCGGCCGGGCTGTTCCTGTGAGAGGCCGGGTCAAGACGATCTCCTTGATAAACATGAGGAGAGTCGTCCATTTCCCGAGGGCTCGCCGGAAACGAGTCGGGGCCAATGGCAAGACCAGGACCTATACTAGAAGCGCTGGAAGCTGAGCTATCCGCATATCGTAATTGGACATCCTCGGTAAACAGCGACAGGATGGAAAACAGCGAGGACATCGAAGCGCCATTCTTTACTTCGGTCAGCAGTTGGTATCCCTGCCTTCCGTCCGGTCGATGATCGTCTTCGTCGGAAGATTCACCTGCCATGCGGTTCAGCTCTTCGTCTGTACCCGACTTCCTGTCCCGCATGGACTTGACGAAGATTTGGACCAAGCCGTCAACAACCAAACAGAACCCTTTCTCTTCCTCCAGCAGGAGCGTTTCGCCGGCGATCAATTTCCTTGTCTGCATGGTGCGGGTCAATTCGTGGAACACAGGCCGCTCGAGGTAGCCGAAGACTTTGATGGCGCTCAAAAACTCATCCAAATAGTTTGCCAAGCCCGGTTTCGTGTCGCTGTCCGGTACGTCGGGGAAGAGATCGAGCTGGGGTTCCTTGCGCTGGGGTTCTGGAGGCAGACGACTGTACATGTTCAGGAAACGATAGCGGATAAACCAACTGATGGTCGAGACCACGGCCAGCGCGATCAAGAGTCTATCGATAGAAACCGTCATTGTCAGCATATGTTGACCCTGGAGAATTCAACCGCGATTGCCAATGGCAATATAATACAGCAGGGGGATCCAGAGTGCGTCACTCACAAGGTCGTGAAGTTCATGGTGAAGGTCAGGCTCATAGAAAAGAGCGTAAACAGCCATGTGGGCAACGTGATGGTCGTAAAGGTAACGATCCAGTATAAGACACTTGGAATGACCTGGAAAATGAAGGAAAAGATCCAGCCGATCCACCCCACCATGGTTGAAGGTGCTGGAGGGGTTATTGGCGGGGGAGGGAGATGCGAAGAGAAGCCGGACACGACGGAGAAGCTGGCGGTTAAGGCGGGGATTGAGGTTGCGAGGGATCGTGCGGCGGTCGACGAGGATGCAGGCAACACATGGAGAGGGTCCAGGCTTGAAGATTCAAGCGAGGGTAGTGCAGCGATAATTCCGTCACCGGTGGCCATGATTCCCTGAGCTTCCATGAGAGCTCGATGGAGACCAGACGCTAAGACACGCCTACTAGTTGGAATCCAAGAAATCAAGGCAGCACCGCACCCCAACTTGGAATAACTCTTGTCCTTGTTCTTCTCTCTCTTTTTGCACTCGTTTCAGTCACATCCGCGCCCACACTCAGGCGTCACAGCTGAATGCAACGAGATGGTGGGCAGACAGTAGGCAGGCTCGTGGCCAGCATCATCCACGCAGGGGAGAACGTGCACCCAGGGATGCTTGTGGCTGGTTGTCGAGACGCAGCAGCTCGAAAAGGCGGCTTTCTTTGGGTGCGGAGACCCGGGCAGAAAACAACCCGGGCGGTAACTACTGGATACTAGAGTGACGTACTTGCTTTTTGGCCCGCTCTTTCTGCAGGGTTTGGAAAAGTTTAGATATAGATAGAATATAATGATCATTTATTTTAAATTTCTTAGGGTGTATGGCATTAAGTAAACCTCACTTACAATGATCGGCAAGCTTATACATATTGGCGATGTTCCAACTTCTACCCATACGTCCAACGGGGAATTATTGAACGTTCCTACAGATGTCATATGCAGTCTTCTGTATAGAATCAATCCTCAGTAAGATCGAAAGAAAAACTTGAAGTATGAATGCTTGAATCTTTATTGCCTTAAGTCTTACATTTCGTCCTTTTGGTAGAACTTCATCTGAGGAGATATATGAATTCCCTGGCAGCACGGTGCTGGCCAGTAGTACTACAGCAAGAAATATATATTTCAAGCGAGAGCTTAGCACTAACCGAATTGTAGTTAATAGGTAGTAAGTAGTTACCACGGAGATAGTAATTGGATTATCGCCATCGTCATATTGACCATCATGAGCGATCCTACTAATTGTCAGTCTATTCTAGTAGCTCTCCTTTTTATCCCTTTATCTCAATATCAATGCATGCTGTCATCGAGGCTGTCTCTGCACTAGAGGTATTGCTATCGTCGAAGAGACCCGCTTCTTTATCTATATATAGTAGCTCCTTCAACATGACGGGGTACAGTTATCAGAATTTCTGGTATGCGGTGTTGCCTTTATATTGGGTACATACAATTACAGAATCGCCAATTAGGTGAAGGTTGAATGAATAAACCATCTCCTTGGGGTGAACGGATATATATGAAATGAACAGAAACAATTCAACATGAATTACTCCGTAGATAGTGTAGATAAATGGCTGCTCACCGCCCCCAGGAACGAGTCCACTTACTGTAAGTTATTCGGCGGGCCACCTACTTTCTGCCCCGTGCTTGGCCGCCCAACTGCCAACCGAAGAAGCCCCGTGCGGATGAGTTGTTGTAGTCGCCGCCGCCGGATTTCATGCTCCCCTTCTTTCCTGCCTATCGCTTGCTTCTCCTTGTCCTCACCCTTTACCGACTTCTCTTTTTCTGTCTTTCGTTCATCAGTCTTGCTGTGGCCTTGGCTCACAGGCCCGCCACGGTCATGTTTCAGGTAGGTGGCCTAGCCCGCTAGTTGTTCTCAAGTCTCCCTCTCAACCTGTCCATTACTATTTACCCGTTTCGCATTCCCCCGTGCCATCTTGTGCTCGTGCCAGTGCTGTGGCTGATCCCGCCCTGTTCCCAATCTAGCGCCTGCGCGACGCAATCGATTCGCGGATTGCAGAAGAACAAGCTCGTCAACGGTCCGCTCAAACTTCACTATCGCGCTCCAACTCCGCTCGTCATCCCACGGGTCGCAACTTATCTCCGACAAGGCGAGCCTCTCGTCCTCGGCGAAACACCGGTACCCCTGTCCGTGGCCCTGATCCCAACGAGTTCGAACCGGAGTTCGCCATCGGAGATGATGAAGGTTCCAGCAGATCAGCCACTCCGCGTCTGGAGTCGGCGGGTGGCTCCGAAGCTGCCCCGGAGGAAAATACCGGGGAGGGGAAGACGTCTTCTGAGGAGTCCGCAACCAAGAAGCCCGACGCTCAGCCGGTAACTGAGACGAACCAGTCACCATCTGAGCTGCCGCCTGAGATCCGGGTGAAATTGCGAAGGTTGGGCAAACTTGAATCCCGTTATCAAGGTAATGAGCGCTCTGCAACGACAGGCCGACGGTATTGTTAACTTGCTGCCGTACTCCAGATCTCCTTAAAGCGTACCGCATGGCCCATTCGCGTGTCCTGTCGATCGAACCATTCGAAGCTGCCCTGCGAGAGAACACCCCCCTGACGTCGATCAGCGAACCAAAAGCGTTGACGGAGTACTTGAATCAGATCTCGTTGAAAGGTGACCTGGTGACCGAGGAATTGAAACGTGTAACAGCAGAGCGGGACGACTACAAGAAGAAATTGGAAGAGTCTCAGAAATCCACCAAAGCCGCTTGGGATGAAGTTACAAAACTCAAGGAGGATAGCAAATCCCAAGCCAAGAAAGACGAAGGGCCAGATGCCGAGAGCTCCGCTACCGACGAATCTACACCCGATAGCGCTACGAAGTCCGGAAAGTCGACCACTTCTGGCGCCAAGGATATTGCGGAGACGTCTCCGAAGGAGTCTGGGGCACAGGGTGATAGTGAGGAGTTCTTCTCATATGACAGCGAAATCCCGCGACTGGAGTCAGAACTGAAGGAGAAACAGGAGGAGATTGAGACTCTGAAGTCCCAGACAGAGTCGCTCAAGCGCGACTTGTCAGTAGCCCGCGAGTCAACGGAAGGCATGGTCCATAACCTGGAGTCCGCTACCCGGGAGCTTGTTGAGTTGCGCGACACTAAGGACAAACAGGATGCGGAGTTGGAGAAGCTCAAAATCTCTAATCAAGAGGAAGTTGAGGAGCTTAAAGCCAAGCTCGAAAAATCAGAAGAGGCTGTGGCGAAGACAAGCTCCGAAATCGAAAACTTGAAATCCGAGCTCAAGCAAAAGGCCGATGAGATCGAGCAACTCCAGGCTCAGACTGCTCAATCCAAGAGCGCTGATCAGCAAGCAGAGATTGAGTCAAAATTGGAACACTTGAATCGCGAAAAGGAGGCCAATGACCGGCGTCTTGGGGTCCTTCAAGGTCTGGTTGACAGTCTGCGGTCCCAGCTCAAGGAGACGGAAGAAACATTTACCAGTCTCAAGACTGAAATGGGACAGAAGACAGAAGATATGGGCAAACTACAGAACGTTGTTAATTTCCTGGATGCTAATCTCAAAGATAACGAGAAATGGAAACAGACCAAAGACCAAATTGCGAATGGAAAGGAAGCAGCATTTGATGAACTTCGCGAGAGTCTGGCTCCTTCACAAGCTGCAGCAGTGAAAGAGGACTCCGCCGGACCTACCGCACCAGCAGCGAACCCCGCAGGCGGTGCTGGGGGAGGCAAGAAGAAGAACAAAAAGAAAAAGAAGGGAGGCAAGGCGAACGAGGAGGCCAACAAAGTAGTTGAAGCTGCTCCTGCTGAGGAGAAGCAAGAATCGGCAGAGCAAGATGATCAAGCAGCCTTGAAGCTCACCGAGCTGGAGCAGAACATTGAATCGCTCAAAACGCAGCTGGCTGAGAAGGATGCTACCATTGACCGTCTCTGCTCCAGGATCAAGGGAGAGGAGGATTTGAAAGAGGAAATCGAAACCCTACGCGATGACTTACTCAATATCGGCCAAGACCATGTTGAAGCCAAGGATAAGGTGAAGGAGCTAACCGCCGAGAAGAACGCGCTGGAGGAAACGATATCCAAGCTGGAGAAGGAACTGACAGATTTGCGGACGAGTAGTGAGTCTAGTAAGGTTGATACCGAGAAGGCACACAATGACCTGAAGGACGAATATGAGAGCCTCAAGATCAAGTCTACTACACTGGAGACTGAGCTTTCTGCTGCCCAGCAGCTGGCTGCCACGCGGTTCAAGGATATGACAGAATTGCGGGAGACCCTGCAGAAACTGCAACCGGAAGTGAAGAAGCTACGAGCCGAGTCCGCGGAGCTGAAGTCGACAAAGGAATCCTTGAACAGCAAGACAGCCGACTTGCGAAACCTGGAGGGGCAGCATGATGAGTTGCGCGCAGAGCTGAAGTCGCTGAAGTCCACCATATCAGAAAGAGACGCAGAAGTCAAGTCTCTCAACCAGAAGATCAGACAAGAGACGGACAGCCGTCTGAAGAGCGAGGAGAAATTGACGGTCGCCCAATCTGATTTGCGGTACTCAGAGAGCAAAAAGCAGGAAGCCGTGGAGGCAAAGGAGAAGCTGGCATCGGATCTGTCCAAGGCTCAAGATGAGCTCAAGGCAGCTCGGGCCCGGCTCCGTGAAGCTGAGAGCCAAGCTGCTCAGTTGAACAAGGATCTTGGCGGCCTGCGAGAGGAGATCCAGCTGAAGACTGCACAGCATGCCAGCGCACAAAGCTTGATGAATAGCATGCGCGACCAGGCTGGGGAGTTGGGCATGCAGATGAAGGAAGCCCGGGAGCGTTGTGAAAGCCTGGAAGAAGAATTAGCGGATGCTCATCGCCTGCTGAGCGAACGTACACGGGAGGGCGAGACCATGCGACGTCTTCTCAATGATATTGACGGTCGCGCAGAGGCTAAAGTACGGGATTTCAAGGAGCGCATGGAGGCTGCCATCGAAGAACGCGACAGGGCTGAGGATGAAGCAAGTGCTCAGAGCCGCCGCCGGGCGCGTGAGTTGGAAGACTTGAAGGGCAAGCTGCGCGAAGCGGAGCGAGCCTTGCGTACTGTGGAGGAGGATAAGGAGGAGCTGGAGCATACGCAGAAGGACTGGAAACGCAGACGGGATCAACTTGAGGCCGAGTCGGAGAAGACCACCCAAGAGCTCAGTGATCTACGACAGGCTATGGCACGGTTGCGGGATGCATTGGACGAAAGTGAGAAACAAGTCCGTGATCTGGAGAAGGAGAAGGCCGAGTTGCGCCGGTCTGTGGAGGAGACCAACGCGCGCCTAGAAAAGGTCCGCAAGTCCAACAAGATGCTACCGGACGAGAGTCGCTTCGGTCCCAATCCGCAGTCATCCAGATCATCCATCGATTCCGGATCACGCAAAGCGCTGGCCTCTCCAGTCTCCAAAGACCGCAGTCCGTCAACCCGGAGAAGCGAGACGCCCACCGGGGCGAATACATCATCCATCGATTACATCTACCTGAAGAATGTTCTCCTCCAGTTTCTGGAGCAAAAGGACAAGAACTACCAGAAGCAGCTGGTGCCTGTCCTGGGGATGCTGTTACATTTCGACCGGTGAGTATCCATGTGTTCATTCTTTCCTTCCCTTCTGAAGACTTGTATATGCTGATTTGAACAGGACCG